CAAGCCTTTGATAAGGCGCTTGGTCAGTGGTTTGATACTACCGCTCCACTCCTTCCATTGCTTTCGGAGATTTTAGCCGACTTTTGTCAAGATGCCACGTTTGCCTGCATAGGCGCAATGACCGAGAAGCGCCGTCTTGTAGCAAACGCGAGACAAATAGCCTCCATGGACGTGCGGCAGCGTGTGTCACACAGGGGGACAGCACTTGGGCTCTCCGCTGCCCAGACAAAACGGGCTTCGCAATTGATTACTTTGTTGCGAACAAGGCAGCAGCGACACACTTCGAGAAGAACGCCAAACGCGACACCGGCCGAGTTAGAATGCCGCACGAGAGACAGCACTTCTTCCACGTCCCCGGCTTGCGTCTTCGACTCCGAACCACGCGACGAAACTTCGACCGCCAGACTCTCTCTATTGATTGCGAAAGGGTGGGCGCTGAAGATAATGAGACTCCTAGGGTGTAACTTTTAAGAGGGTGCCACATATCTACTATTACAGTATACATAGCTTTACAACGTAACTAGACACTTAGCCTAGAATTATAGTAGTACAGATTATATTTCTAAGTATAACACTGCGTTAGTTCTGTCTTTGCCAGAAAGCGCAGCGAGTGCGATAGATCTATAGTGGTACGGGCCTACATTTCTAGTAGCTCCCACGCTGCCTGTATCTCCATGAGGAGCTGCAGCTAGCATGGTTTTGATCTTTTGTTCAGAGAGACCTAGTCCTGTCACAAATCGTCCAGTTTCAGACAGTTCGGCGCGCCCGAACGAAAAGAAGTTTCTTTATCGTGTTCTTCTGGCATCCTTTGGAAAATGGGATGGCCTGTCAATCGTATTGGACCTGATTTGCCCTTCACAAAAGTAATACCAAAAACGCACTTCCCACGCGCTATTTCCAGAGAGTCAAGATATTGCCGAAAAGAATCTATGTCCCCCTGACTTGGATGGACTGGCGTGACCTCTCTACTGCTTGTCGGTGCGCTACTGGAGGTAGTATAACAAAGTATGGCATGAGGCTGCACCCGTCACGACTCTACTTAGATTCGATGAGATAGTGACCTCTTAAATCATAAACATCCACAAAAAAACAAAATAAAAAAGCCAAAAACATTAATCGCACAGGATTGAGAACAAAATCGACCCAACTGCTTCTAGGTTCTTGTTAGATTTCGGAGTATACAATTAGGATAAAACATACCAAAAAACGAGACGATGTGGGTCGCGGCGATACTGATGCCCCTTTTTGTGCCTCTAGTACTATTTCGTCTGTCCTTGATATACTCTCCTCTTGAGTTTGGTGGGGTATTTCAAGGGAAATTCCGGCGCATTTTGTATCTTCCTCCTTCTATCTTCTTGACAGTCACGGACTTGCTTCTCCTTTTTGGCCATCAGCTTTTCTCTCTTTTATCCGTTGCTTCTTGGTTTGTCTTCGCACAGCTATGGGCTTGGGGATGGCACTTCCACAAAACACTTTGCGACTTCGGTGCCGCGACACTCGTGAGCATCGCCCTTCACAAGGCTTTCACTGGGGTCTTTTGTGCACCGCGCTACCTTGCTTCAGAGTGCCTACTTCGCTGCAACCTTTGGGGGCGCAGGCGTGCTCTGATCAGGCAGCCGCAATTTGTCACCAATCGCGTCGCCATTTCTTGGGGTAGTTATTTTGGTCTACCTTATCCGAAACTAGCACAAGCTTACATCGGAATGTCGGATGACCCGGATGGCTCGGACTGTGATCGATGTGCTGCAAACGAGCCAGGTTATGACGCCCACGATCGGGATAGACATGCGCCGCCGAATAAGGAGACAACTCACTTTGGATTCCATCAGGACGACCAGGGTGCAGACGGTAACGCGCGTGCTTCTCCTTATACATCGTGGCGCATCTCCTTGCTCCAAGAGCACTCTCCAGTCCTCGTCAAGTTTTGGCGCTATTTCGTGCTTTTGGCTCTCGTTGGGCGCCAAGCTTTCCAGACAATACGGAGCAAACACTTCGGAGTTTGTAAAAGAGCCATCATTGACTTCCACTGGACTCCTGTGGCCCTCATCCGGCACACAAGACACACGCGGGAGCTTGTGCTCATCCTACGTCCGGCGACTTGGTCAGGCTGGCTCCTCACAATTGCATCACTTCACGGAGATGCTACGGGATTGCATGCCAGTCTGCATTTCACATACTCATGGCGAGACGAGGGCTACCTTACTGAGGCAATACCGGACGACGCCGAGACCTCCTGGGCCCAACGCTGGCGCTGAGTCTCGAGGAGTTGAGGGCTTTTCGAAGAATAACATATCTATAACACAGGGGGCAGGGTGATTCATGTTTGCAATTCCGTATATAATCAGTACCAAAAGTCCGCGCAATTAACCAATGGCCAAGTATGTTGACATAGAGAGGCGCTGAGACAATATATTCACTGGTAGTTCTCCAAAGATAGTCTTTAGCAGACTACTGCATTGCTTGGTAATAGTCCTTTCTCACGGCCCAGACTCTCCGGTCGAACTACAGTCGAATATAGGTAGTTCGCGACTTAATAGAGGCGACTAACTCGTGAATTACAGGGGGGGGCTTGCCAACATACTGACGACCATTAATAGCCAAATCCTTTCACTTCACTCGAAATAGGTACGATCTCATCATATATTCCGAGAACTAATTAAGCTTGCGGCGTGATAAGGCTAGACCAAACACGTACGAGAGACGTATCTAGATCTACGACAGACCACACCTAGGCCATATCCTAGAATCGCGACTAGGTCAGCCTCGTTTCCACCGCGCGGTAGAACCATCTACAGCACAAGGTGACTACTCGGCATCTAGAGGTCGCCCTAGAGATCGTAGAGTGACTATCTGCCAGACTAGATAGCTCAGGAGAGAGCGAAAAGATCACCCCACTCCAAAAAGGTGCAAAAGAGCACTTCAACACAAAAATGCTTCCCAGATCTGTAACAGAAGTTCCAGATCTTTATTGAGAAGGACCTACTGAAAAAGCAATGCAAATAGTTGCTATCTTATCGGACAGAAGGAGGCTCGAGATCGCTCCACTAAGTGGCATCCGTTTGATCACATAGGGAAATCGCCTTTGATCTCTCACCTATTCGCTCGACAAGTTAACACGGCCCCAAGATCGGCACTTGACTCATTTAATATCTTTCGGAGAGGACTGAGCACACAAATGAAAGACGCCCTCGGATCTTACGCTATGCGAATAGAAGGATACTGGACTGGTCATTTAAGATAAATGACTGCATAATTACATAACTCCAGGCAACTTGGCCCGTCTTTCATAGGCATTGTCTTCTTTGTCGTCACACATGATTCACGGCCGATTTGCCACAAAGACTTTTCAAGATTCAGGATTGTAGTCAAGTCATCCGCCTATAGCGTTTGACTTCTCATCTGTGCCGATTGTGTGTTGGTTGGACCAGTCGCAATCCGAAGGCACATTTATTTGCGACATTTGTCGACGAGAAACCTTTGGAGGTGCCTTTGTGCTAAGTTTGTTGCTATTGAATACTTGTGCCGGAAATAGCCATACTCTCAAGACGCGAGACGCACGCCTTTCTAGGTAGTGTTGCCATTAGGGACCCACCCCCCATTTTAGATGTTTTAACTGTGTGCTCTTAATTGGTTCAACATGTTGCCTGAGGCGATTGGGGATCGTCGTTCCATTTTGAATACTTGTTACGGTGTGAGTAGTCAAATTCTAAGCCTTTTAACTCGTACAAAAGTCGACTTCTACAGAAGATGAAGAGAAGGCGCTGCTGGAGTTGATGTGGTTGAAGATGTTGATATCACAGATACCGAAAGTTGTGGGTGCAAACTCGTTGCCCCTCCTCGTTCGATGATTGTCCCGATCGAAACAAAGTTGGAAGCTGTTAACAGATGTTGTAAAATTCTCGCTGTTCTCCTTCGTTGTTGTTAGTTTCTTTTCTCCTTGTTTTACGTTCGATACGAGCAACCCTGTGACTCTAACTTAGTTAGTCTCGGTCTGCGACTTTTACAGTATGCCCAATGTATCAGTTGGAAGCGGATTGCTGTTCTTACAGGATCCAGGCGCCCCCTTCTCCTTACTCTTGTAAAAATGCTTCTACAGGGTGAGGCTTGAGGTTGATGATGATGATGATGATGATGATGAAAGCACTGAGACTGACGCTTGGCGAAGGTGGGGCAAGTGCAAGTGTGAACGCAAACGCAGAAGATGCACCAGCGATTTCTTACCTTCATGGCTTCACTCAACTACAACAAACAAGAGCGAAGCGCAACAAGTGGAGGAAAAGGCGTCTGTAGCATGTCTAGATCAACAATAACAACAACAACACTGACGACAGAAAGTGAGCGGCTAACTGTTCAGGTTGGCGACCCTAGTTTCACATCAACACAACGTCTCGCGCGACCTTTATTTTCAACGGGAATGAGTGGACAACAGTCAACATAGCTTCAATGCGAATGGATGAACAGCAATCTATCAACATGAGCGAAGTAACGCTACTTCAGACGGTTACGATCAGACTTCACCCGGCGAATGGAAAAGCAACCCCTTGGCGGACATTTCCAGAAGAAAAGAACGACTTGATTGGATTTTGCAGCACTCGCATGACATCACAGCACTCTGAAACAACTTGTCTTCCTTTTCGACGCGACGTCACAATTCCTCTTCGATTCCATTGCAACTTCTTTCGAATGAGAGACTTCAACAAACGATACCAACGGCCCTTACTTCACTTCTCCGGTTCTATTTCACGTTCTCAAGACCAAAAGCAACTTCTTTCGCTCACGCGAGCTTTTTCACGTTCTTCTTTCGCGATCTTTGCGGTTTGCGACCTTCTTTACAGCGCTCTTAAGCATGAACACACGGAAGAGAGGGAACTTCACAACGGCAACAACGCTCCAACACCTTCTGGACTTATAAACAAAGACAGTTAGCGTCTCAGGTAGGTGCGAAAGTCGTGTGTTGTTTGGCTACAGCTAGCATGGTTTTGATCTTTTGTTTTAGAGCGGGCAGGTCTGTCAAAACTTGCTCACTTCCCGACAGCCCTGCCTTAAAAGTAAACTTCGTCACTGTGTTCTTAAGACATCCTTTGGAAAGTGGCATGGTCTGTCAATTGTATGGGACTGGTTCTGGTAGTCACAAAAGAGTAATAGCAACACTTTCGCTCAGTATACAAAAAAATTTTTAGAAAAACACAAAAAAAGCCCATAGACGTTTCTGCGCAAGTCGTCAAGTATGTTGACATAGAGAGGCGCTGAGACTTTATACTCTCTGGTAGTTCTCCAAGCATAGCCTCTAGCGGGTTACTGTTTGATAAGACTCCTTTTCTCGCGGCTCAAGCTCTCCGGTCGAACTACAGTCGAAACATAGGCAACTCGCGACTTAATAGGATGACTAAGTCGTAAATTGCCGGGGGGCTTGTCAACATACTGACGTATAGCCGTGATTTTAGGACGTATATTCATGACTTTATCAGACTTTATCACCTATGCAACTTAAGTCAAACCTTCGTAGCTAATGATTACTAAACTTCCGCACCCCCCGCCCGTTGGTGCGTAAATTATCTTAGCCTACGAAAGGTTCTAATTAGTTTTACTCTGCGAGAAGGCTAGCCATATTCGTACAAGGGACATATCTAGATCTAGGCCAGACCGTACTCAGATCGTCTTCTAGAGTCGTGACTAGATCAGCCTCGTCCCCGCCGCACTGTGGAACCGTCTACAGTTTGGGGCGACTACTCGGCATCTAGAGATCGCCCTAGAGATCGTGGAGTGAGTATCTACCAGACTAGAGAGCTCAAGAGAGAGCAAAAGATCCGCCCATTCCAAATGGTGCCAAAATCCAAACGGTGCCAAAATATAAAAATTCCCAGATCTGTAACAGGAGTTCCAGATCTTTACTGAGGAAGACCTATCGAAATAATAAAAGAATAGTTGCTATCTTATCGAACAAAAAGGAGGCCCGAGATCGCTCCACTAAGTAGCATTCGTTTGATCTTACAAGGAGACTGCAACTGATCTCTCACCTACTCGCTCGATAGGATATCATGGCTCAAAGGTCGACACTTGACCCATTAATTTAATATCTTTCGGAAAGGACTGAGCACACAAGTGAAATACGCCTTCAGATCATGCGCTATGTGAATAGAAGGATACTGGGCTGGCCATTTAAGATAAAGGACTACCTCTTTTATCCTCGTCATTAAGTAAGCAATTGCCCGAGACTTCTTCGCATTGATCAAGACGGACGGAGACAAGAAATGTCGCGTAGTCGTCCGCTTATAGCGTTGACTTCACGCGTCGGCTGTGTATTGAAGCACCCAGTCGCAATCCATAAGTGATAAGCTAGCGCATTTGCCTTCGCATTTGTTTGAGCCGTTTGCCTTCGCATTTGTTTGAACCATTTGGCTTCGCATTTGTTTGAGCCTTCGCATTTGTTTGAATCATTTGACGCCGCATTTGTTTGAATCATTTGCCGCCGCATTTGTTTGAATCATTTGACTTCGCATTTGGTTGATTGTGTACCGGAGTGCCCAGCCACAATCCATAAGCACACGCACAGGACTACGCATTTTATCCTCGTCACTCTTCGTCTTGGTCAAGACTTTCAAGAATTCAGTTTGCATTCAAGTCGTTCGCCTATAGCGTTTGACTTCTCATCTGTGTCGATTGTGTCCTGGTAAGACCAGCCGCAGCCCGGCAGTGCATTTATTTGCGACATTTTTCGAACGAGAAACCTTTTTGGAGATGCCTTCGCATTACATTTGTTGCTATTGAATATTTGCACCGGAAATAGCCATAATTTACAAGACGCGAGACGCACAACTTTCGAGGTCGTGTTGCCTATTAGGGACTCGCCCCCATTTAATTGCTTTAGTTGTGTGTTCTTAATTGGTTCACATGACCCGAGGGCATATCTCATCGGTGTGCTCAGTCCTCTCCGAAAGATATTAAACGAGTCCAGTGTCGGTCTTTGAGTCGTGTTATCTTAACGAGCGAGTAGGTGAGAGATCAAGACGCGACTTCCTTGCACGATCGAAACGGACGCTACTTTCTTAGTGGAGCGATCTCGAACATTTTCCATTAGCAAGCGACTTCTTGAGTAGCTCTCTTCGGCACCATTTGGAGTGGGGTGATCTTTTCGCTCTCTCCTGAGCTCTCTAGTCTGGCAGATACTCACTCCTCGATCTCTAGGGCGGTCTCTAGATGCCGAGTAGTCGCTCTGAACTGTAGACGGTTCTACAGTGCGGCGAAGACGAGGCCGATCTGGTCGCAGTTCTAGAATATGATCTGAGTGCGATCTGTCCTAGACCTAGACGCGTCCCCTGTACGAGTATGGTTAGCCTTATCACATCATAAGACTACATTAGTTAGCTCCTCTCGTAAGACAATTTACACACCAACAGGCGGGGGGTGCGGAAATTAGTAGTCACTAGCTACGCAAGTTTAACGCAAGTTGCATGGGTGATAGAAATTACTGATGAAATCATGAATATTACGAGTATAATTGCGAATAGTCGCCAGTATGTTGACAGACCCCCCATGTAATTCGCGAGTTAGTCACCCTTATTAAGTCGCGAATTGCCTACATTCGACTGTAGTTCGGCCGGAGAGTCCGGGCCGTGACAAAGGATTATTACCAAACAGTAGTCCGCTAAGGACTATGCTTGGAGAACTACCAGTGAATATATAGTCTCGCACCGTTTGGAATGGGATGGCCTTTCGCTCTCTCCTATGGATGCACATCGGTCCCAAATCAGAACCTGCAGGTTCCAGCTAAAATCCTAACCTGACCAGCTAGATTCTGTATCTACTTAAGCTACCCCTTTGGTCAAACAAGCTATCTCAAGAACACACATGGACTGACTTCCTCCCATTATATACTGCAAGCGGGCACCTGCGTCTCCTTTTCAGTATTTCTACAGTCCTTATAGAGAACACATTCACAGGAAGTCAATGCTAGTACTGTAAGACACGACTCAAGAGCAAAGTGGTTTCTTTCTCATCTGTGAACCAGTTTTTTCTATTCCTCTACGCAAGAGGTTGATCGAGAAGAAAAGTGCGACACGTGTTGGACTTCCGTGTCACGTCCTGCACTTGCACTCTGTGTTCTGCTTGTCGCATACTTGTCTCCGTTGTTTCTGTCCCGATAAAAGGAAGCTGCTGCAATGAGACTGCAAGGAATCAGGAGCAACTCCAAGTCCATGCCCAAGCCCAACAGACTGCCGCTCGAGTAAGAAGCAAAAGCGAAGCGCGCCTGCTCCCATTCTCCACAAAGCCACTTTTTTTGCGACACCTGCACAGGTGCAACAGAAACTTCCACCTCATATATCTCCGCTTCTTCTCTACTAGGCTGGCTGGAGGAGGCAATTCTTCGCCTGCCATCTTCATGAGCGACATCTTCTGTGTATATCAGCACTATGGGCTATGGTCTCGTAGTCATGTCATTTCCTGTCTCTAGTTCTAGCAGTGTATATTTCAAGTTCCATACGTCCTGACGAGGGAGAAGTTTGTCAATGAGAATGAGAGGGAAGAGAAAACAATGAATAAGGCGTGATCTATGAAACTCCGAGAAGCGTTCACATCCGAAAGACGATCACTAGATAACCAAAGGCACGCCTACATAGCCACTTCCTGATCATGGTCGTGTCTGTGACTATCCATTCAGCCCCTCAGATTCAGTTGCGCTAGCGCTAACGCTATCTCTAACTCTGCAGTTGCAGGCAATTATCACCAAAGTCAGAAGACGAAGAGAAGCTAACTCGATCGGGTCTCAGATCTTGACTCAGTGCATGGGCCTGTGGGGATCAGTTTAGAGATAGACTGTGGGCCGATGGTGATCGTTCATGTTTCATTCCGAAGCTTCTACTTTTCGAACTCGATCTGGCCATGACTGTCATTCAGCGACTCTGTTTCTGATACATCGAAATAACGCAGTACAACTACAAAGTTCGCGAGTTTATCCGAGTTTGTTCGACGCGCCAGCATGTCGCTCTACAGCTGTGGCCACCCTCTCGTATCCTCGTATTTGTATCTACATCAGATTCAGATCACCACTCGGTGACACAGAGACGCACCTGTTCTCAATCTTCAAGTCATTGCCAATGCCATCATATTGCTCTTGCTCAGGGCTCTCGTTCAAATAGAGACTGCAACTGCTCGCCCTCAGCCTCACACGCACCTGACAGACATAACATCACGACCAGACTCTGACTCACGGTGCCGCTAGTTTCACTTGAACACCCTCTCTACACATAGACAGCGACAATTACGATCGCCGATCTCCTTCGTGAAGTTTTCCATTTGTACTAGTTCCTTGTCCCTATCCATTCCGCATTCTTGTGGAGGTTGCGTCATAGTTACCTATACCATACAAAGAGGACGAGCCACACAAAGAGGTCGCTGGCTATTTCAATCTCCCGTTTCTCAGAGCTCAGCCTCAGTGTCAGTGTCAGTGCGCCAAAGTGTTCCCATGAATATCTTGCATACGATCACACAGTCAGAAAGACAGATGATACAGTTGGTACGGTTACAGATAGAGACACAATTGCAAAGACATCCCTAAGGAGAGTAAGGCCCGCCCTACAACCAACCGCCACGTAGTTGTAGAAGAAGACGCACCGACTCTGATGCTCATCCTCATGCTGCATCTGCAAGGACATCGAGTTCGAAACTAATACTGAAAGCCACTTTCTGATTTTCACAGATAGGGTTAGATCTGCATGCGACACCGCAGTGCCGTTTCCTGTTGCTGTAAGTATGCGAACGCCGGGGGCGAGTTCTGACACTGCAGAATCTTCACTTGAATCATACATGCGCAATCAATCAGCTGTCCTTCGTCCTAGCCATGCTTGCACATTCCCTTCTCCTCGTGCTCATTTCTTAGCCCCAACCCCCAAACCCAACCATCGAGTACGAAGAAGAAGAGTTGATCAAGTTCAAGAATCAAGCTAAATTTAAAAACCCCAACTAAATTCACTTGAAGCAGACAGGTAAGGTAAAAGCTCTGCCTCGTGGTTCATCACCCTGGTCTTTGTCACGGCTATAGTTCAGCACTATCCCATATCACCTACTTACCCTTCGCGAGCGGTGTCAGTGTCACGACGCTGCCCTTCTTTATCTTTTCAGTTGAGTTGCTTGCGCTACTCCTACTGCCACAGTGCGTCTTCTCCTTCTGGAATCTGGAAGATAGTGATGCCTGATTTAGAAGAGTGCATAGAATAACGGCGATTGGGATTCGAAGATATCATCAATGAAAAGCCTGCCCTAGATCTTCAAGTTACCAATCAAGAAGCAATATGAAAACGCCTAGACGGCATAGCCATAGTCTGATGAATTGGAAACAAGAAGAGCGAGCCCATCGCCCCCCTTGGAGAGTACAGACGGACGTCGCTCCCTCGGACAATGAAGACCGAGCCAATACTTGAGAAGAACGGAGCAACGTCGACGACGACGGTTGCAGTTGCTTCCGTTGAAGGTTCATATCAACAGTTAACTTATCAACAAGCAGTACTAGGGTCGTCTGTAGATCTGACCCCTCGCGTCCCCCGAGTGCGTTCATGACGGGCACGTGTCGTTATATGGACATGGTGAAGCAAATTACTCAACACTGCAGCTTCCAATTCCATTCAGTTATATTTCTTACACAGTAGCCCCTTCTCTATCCATACCCACACGAGAAGGAGAAGCCTGGCGATATCAAAGTCTAAGGACCGCTGCAAAGCAGCGGGCAATGAGTCGACCAGCGTTACTTATACTTCATTCGATGCTGCGTTAGTTAGATGGCTTGGTCGCGCGTTGGAGACGGATTCACTTTCACTCGCACAGGAAACACGTTCCGAAGTAGAAGTACAGGCTGAATTCAAACTGTAACTGACGAACAGAAAAGCGCCAAAAACAGTCTCCTCTTCCAGGCAGCTTACTTCTTTGCGCGTCAATCTTCCCCAACTGTATACCCACTTACTCCTGCTCCCTTACTCTCGAGGCCACGCTACATCTGGGAGTAGATCTAGAATGGACCTCGAAGCTTTAGTGCTAGTAGTAGTGCTGGCGCGGTTCTACTAGCGAGATAGTGAGAGGGTAAAAATATACTCTAAACAAATTTAGATTATTTAGAATATTTTAGATTTAAGAAGAATGGATAACATGCTTGCTGCATCAGTGTCACCTATGATTATGAACCCCCCGTCACCTTGTCGCGCGACTGAGCGGCGCGGGCCACACACAGGTGAAAACCTGACAACAGCGGAGAAGTATATAGTAAACAAATAAGTAAGAGGGAGGCTGTGCTCGAACTCGTGATTCTCAATGCGAGCCCATCGACGCAAACTACTTTCACTGTCATTTCGAGCATACTTTTCAACAACTGAAATTGATACTGAGAATTATCCTCGACGTTTGTCACAAATAAAAGCTAGATGCGTGACTGAGGCTGATCCTGATGCAGTTGCGGACACCAAACTATGTGTGAGAGTAACGATCCTCAAACAGAATTCTTGGGACTAGGCTCCTGCTTACTCTTACCGCAAGCGCGCGTCGGTCTGAGTCCCAAACTCAGCGCGAGTAAGAGTATCAGGATGCCAGAGCTATAATCTACTCCTAACTCCAGGCCCAGCACCGGTAGCAGAGTCCCCCACGAGGATATAAAAGTGAAGAAAAACTTTTCCGATCCTTGACGTTTCTTAGACTTCTGATATGTCGTACTGCTATGCATTCCCCCACGGCTTCGATCATCATGTTTATAGAAATACTCACTCGCTGATCGATTGACTCCTGCTTTTCCCTATGCGTGTAGTTCTCACATACATTGATGTTGACATTGTGCGTCTGTGTATTAACATGTAGTAATCTATCTACAAAGAACAACCTCATCGCTATCCGCAGAAAACCCAGAAATGATTTAGATTTAGAGTCTAAGTCTATCTCTATGTCATAGTGATAATTATCGAAATAGACCACAGTCCATCCTTCGAAAATTATCCCCGACGGTCCACCCTGATGATTGTTGTACTACAACTTGTTTTATTCATGCGTATGCTACTCGAAATACTACTCCCTTTGAGATTCTTTCAATCGTACACCCTGCGCATCCCGATAGTTTGCTTTCATTCTCTCCCTCAGTCAATCTATTCATCATCTACCTGCCTAGCCATAGACCACCTAGTGTATTTCTAGTCGTTATCGTTTTGTCCATCTAAATCTTCTAACTAGTGCACTCTGAACCTGACAACGATAGATCGAGAAGTCTGCGAGAGGGTGAAGTTAGTAATTGCGTATGCTTATGCGTATGCATATGCAATCGCTATCCCAATCGCAATACGCAAACCCGGGTAGAAATCATAAGCATGGAGGCCAAGCCCCGGCCACCCGCATAGTAGATATAAGCAGACTCTTGCACAGCCTCGCTTTCTCTGCTGTGGTGCAGCCTTGTGTCTATCTATCAATCAACCTAGTCTAGACTTGCGGACTCCAGACTGAAAACCTAGGTAAGGCATACTCCATAACCAAGACACACCGAAAGCAAGAGACGCTCGGCCTGCGTCTTGAAGTGAATGCAGTTGCGTTCTCCGCTACCTAGACTTAGAACCCTAACTCCTAGGAGCAGCCTATGGAAAGCTTGCGCATGTGGTCGCGCCCATCGTCGTATGCATATACATATTCATATAGGTATACTTATAGTTCATAAAGTCACGCTTGTAATCTTCTATGCTTGTAAGCCGGAGCAGAATCGTGGATGCCCTTGAATGCCTCTACATAAATGTAGAAGAAAACGCGAACGTCCGACAAAACGCCCCTGGTTTAGAAATAAAGGTCTGAGAAAGTACGAAGGTCCATTTTAATGCATGATAGGATTAGGAATAACAATAAGACTCCTCAGACGAGGACTCATACTCCCATCGAGGTGTTGCACTATGGAGAGACTGGGCACTGCAACATGCTCACTCTCATCCCGATCCCTCACCCTTTGTGCTTGTCCTTGCCCTTGGGAAGAGATACCAACCGAAAAAGCATAGCAGCAGACGCAGGGGCGTCCATGCGATGGCTTCTCCTGTAATGAGAGCTAACTGCAGGCCCAACCCTGGCCCCTTCCACTTGTGTGGCTGAACATTCTCTGTAATATTCGAATGCCTAGTACTAGCTTTCATACCTGAATGAAAGACACTAGCGCTACCACTACACGCGGACGCCACCTTCTAAGTTCAGCTTCAGTTCCTACACGGAAAATATAAATTTTCTAAATTATCTAAATCAAAAATAATCACAAACATCGCTATCGACAACGTAGTTACTTCGAGCTGCTTGAGTAGATTGAGTACACTACCAAGCTGCTCGACTTCGAGTTTCATCGTCGTGGACATGCTGGTATGACTATCGCTAAGCCTAACGGATAGGATATTAACGTCGAACTACACTCACACGATCGAGATAAAAAATCTTACGCGGTAGGCTGGACGAGTCGTCCTTGAAAAAGTCGTGATATTGGATCCAAACCTAAAACTCCCACTCCGCTTAGTTGCTCCAACCTAAAGCTCGGACTCGGATCCAAATCGATGAGATTGTGGATCTGCTCCGATTGATTGCACTAAACCGAATCCCGATTCCCGAAGAGGGGCTACTCATCCCAGATAAACAAGGAGACTGCTGGCTTCTGCTTCTGTAAAGAGCACCCATCTAACCAGACCTGACCCAAGTTACACCTACGACTATTCACCTCCTCTATCATAATCAATACCATGATACTGATAACAGTACCCCCTTCCCTATGCCTATCCCAATCCCTTACCCCCTCACCACAAATAACCTGTATAAGTCATGATCTCTGCAACCACACCCTCCTCCTGGTCCAAGACCTAGTTGCAGTTGCACTTCTCAATACGAATACCCACCCCGACTGTCCCTGACGTTGACCCACTAGCAACTAGGACTATACCTATTCCCCACTATGAGTGTGCCCTCGATCCCGAGACCACATATCCCTGTCCTAGTTCTGGCAACATCGATCAACATCACCTCTTGTTCTTGTCAACCTCATCTAGAACAAGCCAGCAGCCTCAAGCTCGTCAGCGACGGCGTCCCCGCCATTCTTGGCTGAGGCCTTCTTGCGCTTGACCACCAACGGAAGCGGTACCACGATCTTGAACGTTTGGCGACAGCTGAATCGGTGGGAGGGATATTCGCACGAGGAGGCCGTCGACTCGTTGAGTCGTTGGCGCATCCGACGATCGCGATCCTCCTTCACCTGATCAGACGTGCGCACGGCCACGTCGGTTTTCGATTTCGTAGACGTATTCTTGTTGGTCGAACTCGAAGTCGTAGGACCGATACCGAGCACAAGGCCATCCTGATCCTCCATGGCGTTCATGCCCAAAACGTCCTCGTCCGCGTTCACACCCTTCATCTTCTTCGTTTCACGCGGCGGCGTATCACCTGTCGGAACCGCAGATCGCTTTGTTGCGGTCTCACCCGGCTTCTCCTGGTTCAAGGCCTTGGTCTCGGTGGCGGCTTCCGCATCATTGGCCTTGGACTTCGTTGGTCTGCCACGAGGTTTCTTCACCTTCTCACCGTTGTCAGCAGCAACTGCCTCTGCGTTTTTCGTCTTACTCGAGTTCGAGGTCGACGCCGTTTTCGATTTAGAGGCGGTGGTGCGCGCAGTGGCAGTCTTCATGGCCTGCATCTTCCTCTTAGCACCACCAGAACCAGTCGTACCAGAACCAGCGGCGCCTGCATCGTCTTCGCCATCTTTGTCCTCGGACGTGGTCTTGACGTCGTCGTTGGTGTTGACTGACGTGGTCTTGGTCTCGCTCCCTGCGTCCTCGGCTTTGGACACGTCCTCGGCTTTGGGCACGTCCTCGTTGGTCTTCGCGCCACATAGATTATCGTCGTCGAGGTCGACGGCGCCGTCGTTGCCACCGTTCATGTCAGTTTCGAAAAGCGCGCCGTCGTGGTCGGAACCCTTCGTGCCCTCATGGATCTCACCCGCGCCACCATCTTGCGAGGCCGCCTTGGAACGGGTCGGACTGCCAATGCCACTGCCATCCGTCATGTGAGGAACATCATATTCATCCGAACCCGAAGGATCCACTTCCCAATCAAGATCGCCACTCTCGAAAGAGTGACTGCAGGCAGAGATGTAGATGTTGTCAGAAGGAAGGCGACCGGGAAACGACTTGCCATGAGTCGGCCTGTACTCGTCATTGTACTCCAGACAAGTGCGAATAAGTGCAGGGTAATCGTAGATGGAGAAGGTGACCTCAACCGGGAAGATGCACACGTTCGTCACAGCCTTGTAATTGGCATTCGGTGATGCTTTGTAGCGCACGCAACGCTTCGACAGGTTATGCGGATCACCTGGCTTGCCGACCTGAACGCAGCAGAAGTCCAGAACGACGCCACTGGAAGCAGCACTCAGTGGAAACTCTTGGAAAATCTGCGCGTTGTGCAAATGATAAAGTGGATCCACTTTCAAGACGTCACGTGGAACAATACGAGCTTCTTGTTCACCTGGACGCTTAGCAAGAGAAACGTACGGCGGACGTTTACGTCCAGGCCACAACAGCTCTGCCAAATCCGGAGAGTCATAGTCGGTACTGCTGAGAATGTCAGTTTCGGATATCCAATCCTCTTCCGATGGATCCCAAACTTCGACAAGACCCGGAATGTGTGGACTCTCGCGGTAACCGCTCTGCTTGGCAGTGGTATTCTCCTCTTCGTCAAGGTTCTGCACCACCCCGGTCTGCGCAGTGTACATGGTGTCAGCCTTCTTGCCTGGAAGCGGTGCCACGAGAAACTCGTTGATTTCTCCGTTCTTGTCGAGTTCATTGAAGCGACCAGGATTCTCTTTCAGTTGGTCCTTGCGAACCGCCTCGGTCAACTTCGAATCTTCGTCCGCACCATCGTCCTGTCAGTGGTGAGAGATTGAAAGATGACATTTAGTTTAGAGCAAAGACGGGAGAGAGGGAGATACTGATAGAAGTAGAACGTAATGGTGGAGACAGAAGTACTCTGATCCCATTATAGATACATGCATAGGTGTAAAGTTTGGAAGTAGAGGAAGGAGTGTCGAAGTCTCGTTTTCAAATCAGTATCAGTATCAGAATCAGAGTAGAGCTAAGACTTGGCGAGAGGACTAGAGTTTAGTCTGTCTACTACAACTTCTACATCAGGACTTGCTCATAAACGATAGTACCCCTGTAGCATCAGCTTTCAATTCTGCAGTATTCGCCTTCTGGCCGTCCTCGATGGCCAAGACCTTGCCCTTCGAACCCTTGCCCTTCTTGCTTTGCGTGGCTTTCGCGGCGGCCACAGCCTTCTTGTTCTCTTTAAGCGTCTTGAGAATTTCAGCACGGCGCTCGCGTTGCGACTTGATCTCCTTCTCCATCCTCGCGAGGTAGATCAAGGCGGACTTCTCCATTCGCCCCAACTTCTCGCGGCTGTCTGGCGGTGGATTGACACCGCTGCTCTGGATCATGCCCTGGGACTCCTCCAGAATCCCCGGTCGCTTGGCCTTCAAGGCGGAGGAGATGCACTCGGAACGAAACACGACCTGGCAGCCCACCGAGGGAGTACCGTTCGCGGTGGAAAGCTGTTGGACTAGTGCGCGCTGCTTCGGCAAAACCTGATTGAAGTTTGGATGGTATTCGTAGAGTATTTAGATTCTGGAAATGGTGTTGGAGATGGAGTTGGTGCTGGTGACTTTGATTTAAAAGATAGAGGAAGAGGAGTAGGCGAAGTGTGTAATCAACATCAATGCCAAGCCCAAGTGGACATCCCTATGCATAAAGTCAAAACCTAAATCATTCTGACTCTCATTCTCATAGCAAAGAGGAGGTGGATAAGGAGACTGGCACTGGAAATGGTATGGTAAAGTTAATTGTCTCTATCATCGTCGTGCGGGGTGCTGAAACGCAACACGTCGCTATCGCAAGAACGAGTCCACCCCAAAGAAGTCGAAGTCGCAGTAATCGACGGAGCCGCGAGGTCGCTAGGGTCAGGCGCAACAAGTGGCGAGCGTAGATCGAGTCTGACGCAACACTCGTGCGCACAAAGCCTTAGCGTTGGTATGAGCATGGAACTGAAACTGACCTTGAAGTTGAACCTTGGCGCCGTCTCCAAAGGAATATCAGACCGTGTCAGAGCCAAACCCACACCCTCACATTCATAGAGGAAACGCACAGGCGCAAGATGTTGCCCTCCAGCGACATTTGCCCGCCCATCGACGAAAGCATGGAAAAACAACGACTCAGTTACTCTTTAGATTATTTAGAATTAGATGTACTGGGAGTCAGTCATAGTATAAAGTACCGCCAAACTGCCTGGGGCTCTTTCATAGCCCTCCGGGATCATGGCCTCAGCGAACTTGATGGCGGCAGTGCCCAGCTTGGTGGCATCGCTGTTGTCGTCGGTCCAAAAGAGCGGCACCTCTCCAAACTTCTGGTCCAAGTCACCCTTCATCTTGGTCTGCTCCTCCAAATCCTTGGCCTCCTTCTCCTTCAGCTTCGTTTTCGCCTCCAAATCGGCAACACGCTTGAGGGTTACTGCCTGCAGCAGCACCTCCGCACCCACGGCCTCAAGGTCTTCACGGTCAAGTCCACGCAAGTGCTTGAGCAGGTGTTGTTGAAAAATGATGGCATCGTCATCGTCAAAGGCGATGCCATGTCTGAACCTCGCCACGATGTGAAAAGCCGTTAGTAGTTCTTTTTCCTCGTCCGCATACTCTCTGGTCCATTTGCTCGCATTGTTCTGATATTTGAGTAAGAAGAGGAAGATGCCAAGTCTAAGAGATCTATAGTAGAAACCACAATGTCGCTCATTCTGATCTTCATTCACAAAGAGTGACGAAATAAAAGATATCCATGTTCGCCAAACATTGCTGAGATTACAACGGCACCAAACCCAGTCCCAATCACTATCACAAAGTGAGTGCCTCAATCTTAAAAGATGAAGAGGTGACATGGAGCTGTCTTATCGCTATAACAATCGAAAACCTTGAAACATCACTACCTTCATGAACGACATGATCGGGTTCGAATCAGTTTTATCGTCGCAAAGATAAGCCACCGCGTATTTTGCTGTGAGGCTGCCCTCTTGAAACAGCCCTTGATTCCCGTACGTGATCATGTTCGTCACATCTTCGGCAGTGACGTTTGGAAAGATCTCCTGTTATGGTTGTGGTAGTGGTTGGGGAAGTAGGATTGAAAATGAAGGAAGGAAAGTCTTTAGATTTTTTAGATTTAGACTTCGAACCCAACAGCTTCGCCACTCAGTCATTAGCAGGAGACGTAGATGGAATTGGATGAGAAGATGCTACAGCTACTACTACTTTCGATCTTGATGCTACATAAGTCTAAGTGTTATCGAATGTGAGATAATAGATACAGCAACTTTTTTCGCGCGCTTCTTCGCGTCCTGCGAAGCCAAACCAGCAACAATTCCGGGGATGGCTTGGGCCATCTCATGAGTCTGACTCTTGAGCGCTTTGCCTTCTTTATTCCCGAACTTGCAATATAAGTTCAACAACTCCTTATGCTCCAAAATGTCACTCCTGAATTCGATCATCTGTGGTTGTGGTTGGAAGAGGAAGCTTGAGGTGATAGGATGTGGAGGAGAGACGCGATGACTACACGTCGAGTTTTAGTTATACAAGTATCTTCATATTGCACACACGTCTAGCAGTATGACGATCAGTCAAGTCCAACGCGTGGGTAGATGAAATCAGATAAGGAAGTATAGGCAGGCGATATACAATCTTTAGAAAGATAGTACCTTGATCTTCGCTTTCTTCAACACCTGCGCCAGGACATCTTTTCCTTTTTCATGTCCGATCTTACGAAGTGCAGCAGCTCGGTTTTGGCCTCGCAGAAAACCCCACTTGCTTCCGTTGGGGATATCAGTACGACGAAAGATGTGCTTGTTGTCTCCAGCCTTACAGCGTGTGTACACCATCGCACTCGAGTCCTTCAAGTAGTTGTACTCTTGGAAGATCTTCTCCATTGCTGCTTCGTTAGGAAGCGAACGGGGTGGATTGCACTTTAAAGTGCACGAATCCATGAAGAAGTCTGCAGTTGCTGTCTCGGTCTCATTAGTAGCCCATGTCTTCTCCACGATCTCTTCCACCTCCGTACGCGTCATCGAATCGTCGTAGTAATTTGCGACCCACTGGGCCGAGTCTTCGTGTCGCACCGTCATTCTTGAGACCCTCAGATCTTGACAGCTTCGCTCTTGAACAGTTGTGTGAAGAAGATGGTAGATGTGCGTCCTGTGTTGAGTTTCGATTTCTTTCCGTGCTTCTCAGAGGATGCACACGGTGTTGTTTTTAGATTTCTAAATGATTAATGATTGCTCCAGTGCTCCGACCGGATTTGATTTTGCTCCGCGAATGCAGCCCGGCCGACAGGCTCCTCTTCAGCTTCTAGCTGGAATGTTAGCGATTCCGGGGCAGCCTGCTCCAAAAGCGTCAGCCTTCCAGCTAATAGCGGGGTGGACGCACTGATTTACTCGTTGAAAACGTCGCGATTATTTTCCTTTAGAAAATTATATTACATACAAAAACTTTTCTCAGACTAATTTTTTGTGGGGGGAAAGAGTGTTTTTCTCCTGTAAATCATCGAAGAGAGTCTAAATGATATTTCCTTTTCCAGGGTCTTGTACTCAATATATTTCTCACGAATTCCGTCGATCGATTTGGAAACTTAGTTTCTTAACGAATAACGAAGCGACTTCTTCCCTTGAAAAAAAGGTCTCTTTTATGCTGTGTGATTTTTTCGAAAACGTGGAATGCTATCCGTTTGCCCTCTCAAAAAGAAATCAAGCTCTCTCATAACAAACTTCAAAAAAGTCGCTCAGTGGTCTCATTCAGCAACAAACGGTGCGCGCTCCAGCTCAACGATTCATGCGACCACGAAAAAAAGTCAGACTGTACGTGAATGGTGTCCTTCGGCTACATCTCGGACACGCAAATCTTTGCGAAGCTCTCTGTGGAGTTTCTTTTTACCACAGCCAATACAAGCCGAGACGTTTTTTCAAGTTCAGCACTCTTTCAAAAAAACGGAATCAGAAGAAAGTCAATGTCAAGAAGAATTAGAATCATGCTCAAGAAGCTCTTCCCATAACCACCTTCGTCATTTGTGTTTCAAGGTCAGCTATTGACATCCCAATTGTTATCACTTGCTGCCACGTGCACGGCAACAAGCGTTTGATATGATATAAATGCAAACCCTGCGGCGCCTGCTAGTTCACAGCTTCTCTGTATTCAACAGGAGAATCGAATTTAGTGCAAGTCCATGCCAATGAAGCGAACGCGTTGTAGAGTCACCTACTCCTACACCAAGAGACCAAAGCTGTAACAACTAACAAGACCAATGATGCTCATTCATTCCAATGGGAGCTGATATTAGTGCATAATACATAAGCCACATACTCATTCTGCAGGAGACCAAAAACTTACTACTAGCTTACTACAGCGTCCGCAGTTACTAGTTATGTTGTTACTAGTAGTACTAGTACTACGACCACTACAACTACTAAGCTTAGACACTACTACGATCAGCATGCAACAAGTTCAGCCCGTGGACGTGCAGGTCGTGACGTGGATGTGTGCCTGTACATATCTTATCGAAGTCACAACTTATCACGCATTTAGATTCTTTAGATTTTTCCGAACCACTACCACTACCAGCACGCTCTGCTATTACTATAACTATAGCTATACGAAAAGGATAAGGAAAAGGTAAAGGAAGCAGAAGAGAGATTATCTAATCTTCATCTTCAAGTTCAGTGGGAATACAAACTGCTACAGCGAAGGGATCTACGAAAACAGGTCAAGCGACTGACTGAGCATCAGCGACTGCGACTCGGACCATTTCAGTAAGGAAATGTAATAGCAGACAGTTACGATATCGATTGCAGTAGCAGTAGCGGTTCCCTTTGATTTGGATCTTTAGAAAGTCAATGCCGCAAGCGCAACCGCGACTGCCACTGGTGCCTCTAGATCGAGAAGCGTTATATTGCAAGGAGAAGGGGCATCTGAGTTTAGATTTTTTAGGTGTATTGTTAATCCATGTAGGAGGAGCTCAGCTGTATCCAAAGCTTCTATACCACGCACAAACTTCGTAGACAGAGGATGACTTTTCAGAAACGAACTCAAACGCAAACTCATACTCAAAGCACTTCAGACAAAGACTTGAACTTGATTGGATTTGGAATTCAAATTAAGAAGATGGAAACAAATAAGAATACTACGGCATCAAGATCAAACTGCTACTTCGTTTACTCGAAATCGAAAATAAAAGCTCAAGCTCTGGAGGGAAACATTAGAAATATACGGCTTCACGCTTTTCTACAGTATAGCAAGTCTACTCCTAAAACAAGAACAACTCAACAAGAACAGCTACAATAGTTACAGCAACAACTACAGGCTACTTCGAGACTAGACTTGCTGCATAGCCTCTACTGCAAGTGAGGACGCCACTCCCACTGGAGTTTCTATTATTCGAAAGAAAAATCGCGACGAAGCTGGTGTTAGCAGGACGTTGATATTTGCCACCTCCTAGGGCAACAACAGCAGCAACAGCTTCGGCCTTCCTCTTCCTCCTCGGACGGCTCCACACGACAATATAGAGGATTAGAGATGGAGATGGATAGTAGATTCATGCTATGGATGTGTTGGGCCTGGGGAAGGGGCAAGGGCTCTTAACGCTCAAACTGATAAGCGAGCAATTACTAGCACGACTGCAAGACGAAGGCCTAGCCTGACGTCCTTATTATAATGAGAGAGAAGCTATGACTGACATTGCGACCTGTTCGGATTTTTCTCCTTGAAAAACCGCGCCCCTTCTGAACCTCCCTTCCCATAGCCATAGCACAGACACCGCATCAAACAAAGCCGCTGTCTCTGTCTGTGTCTCAAGGGATTGGACTACGGAAATCTGGATACTTATATAGGGCTAACCTATCCCTATCCCTATGAGGGACAGCGACAGGTAACAACAACAAGTAACTACTTGTGATAACAAAAGCAACAGCCTGGCCCTATGCCTTCGTCTACAGCGTTTGCTTTGTCGCTTTCACTATCAGTTTCGAACTCGATTTCGTTATCGTTATCGTCGATCAAAGACGAGCCATAAGATGAGTATGAAACTGAAAGTAGATGCTGTGTTGCTTCTTGAGGGCGTACTCCTTATCACACGATGAGAACTAATAGCACCAGTAGATTGACCGTCGCCGTCGTGGTCTCCTCGTCCTCAGGGTCAGAAGAACAAGAACCACAAATATCCAAGCATAAGAAAAGCACACCCAGACCCACGATCCCAGTCTGATTTTGCCTCAAGGACGAACAACACCAGCACCATGAGGTCACCACCGTGTCCGATGCAGCCTCGGCCACACCGTCACAGTCACAGTTGCTTGTCTTAGAGACCATCACCATCTCCATCGCTGCTCTGAGATTCTTCCGCATCATCAGACGTCTCTGACTCACTTCGCTCCCCATTATCCTCTTCCCATGGTGCGCATGTTAGCTCATCCTCATCTTCCCCCGACGACCCATCTCCGCCTGACGCCTTCTTCGCTGCTGCCTTCTCGACAGCTCGTAGTTTCGTCAGTCGCTCAACTGCGAATGATGCAGCCTCCGACTTAACTTCCGGAGAAACGCGCAAAAGCTGTGTGTTTGTGACTCTCGCCACCTCCTTGACTACTTGCACCCTTGCTTCTTCCAGCCCTCGAGCATTGGCTGTCACCGCAACACGGCCGAAAGACTTATGCGTCGCCTCCGGATGTAATCGCCATGAGCTCTTCTCTTTCGGATCAATGGTGATGTCTTCATTATCCAAATTGATGACCGCCATCCACTCTGGTCTACCTACGGCTTGTTTCTTTCCGTCTTTGTTCGTCTGAGTGAAGCGCGGCAAGGCAAGATAGACGCTGGCAATTTTCGGATCCAACTCTGGAGCCATCCTCTCTTGCGGGACCTCGTTCGCCACACGCTCTGCTCGTACGCCACTACTAGACTTGTTCTTATTAGGAGATCGACCATTTTTCTCTGCGTTTGTTTTCTCTCCCTTCGCTTTCGTGTCTTCTTTGAGCGAGCCTATCAGATCAGCAAGAGTTGTAGTCATCGATGTTGCGGGAAGCGCACGGAGTGTCCAATATGCAGCACCATCAGGAAAAGCATTCACGGTAGCACAGCGATCATAATGAACTACAACGTCGCGTCGTTTGGTTTTCTCCTCTTTCGCACGTTCCTTCAAGGCCTTGACGTTGATGACTTCGGAGAGCATCTTCACACAGTTCCCACTGATGGTGTGAAGGCTAGCGTTAGCATCGCCTGCGGCGTCCACTTCGCAGTCCCGGATCGCTTTATACTCGTGAACCAGTTCCCGAACGTCCTCATCAAAGAGCATCGTATCGTCCTCGACGTGGCAGCGGACACAGAATCGACCGTTGTAGAGCCAGTACGTGCTGTTTTCGCCAAATGTGTCCTCGCCAAGGAGTTCAGAACGAAATCGCAATATGTCGCCAACTTGAATGCTCAGCGTTGTAACGCGGATGCGTGTTTTGTCGAAGTCGGCTATGCCGCGCTTCCTGCGGATTAATCTTCGACGAACCTGCTGCACAGAAGAATTCCCAATGGATGGATCATTCAGCGTCCGAAGGTATTCCAGGTCCGCGAGAGCAGCCTCGAGGAGGTTCCCCGGAGCCCTGGTTCTGTCTGGGATGCGTTGCATGCTCCGGAAGCGCAAGTCCTTCATCTGGTACAAAATGCTAAAGGCTTTTGGCGGTAATCTCGGGTACCGTTGAATGATCAACCGGTTTCCATTCGCTCGGATGCTGATGTTCGGAGCGGCCCTTTTGACATTCGCAGTTGTCGAATGCAAACTCTCGGGTAGCTGGTTTTGAGGTAACATAACGAAGACTACAGGCGCAACGTGACACCAGAGTGCGTCCGAGACATGAGGAATGACGTTGACTCCCTCCCGCACACGGCCGGCTGCAATCCTACCCAGTTCACGCCTGAAGTCTGATCTGAGATCGACAAGAAATGCAGAATCAAGCCCATCAGGATCAGGGCAAAAAACAAGCGCCTTTGCAGCAGACTGGCGTGTTTGTGCATCGTCACTCATTAAGTCACGCAACACTGTCACAATCGGACGCCGCATTGCTGCTTCCTTTATCCACGTATCGACCTCAGCAGAACTCAGAAGAGCCGTCAAGAGCACTCGTTGCACCGGCGAAGCGATGACGAAAAAGCCACTGCATCGATCTGCCCACCACTTGGATGTATGACAGCGAAGCTCTTGAGTGTAGTTTTTGAAGTTTACCCGAGCTTCAACAGCTGCTTCCTGCATTACGTCGAGAAGCGACTTTAGTGCTCGTGTTATCCAGAGCGCAACACGCAGCACCGAGAAGTACGGGTGATCAGTTACTGTGGCTGAAGGAACTATCTTTTTGAAATTCTTGCGGCCGCGAGCAGCCGGGTTCCAAGCGTTGTTTCGCTGCTTCAGTCTGGTATTATAAAGCCGCACTGCGTGAATCAGTTCGGTCTTTTGATTCCAGACCTCTCTGATTGTGTTTGCGCCTGATCCCCACCTGTTTCTGACGTATTTGCTGACCTTCTTAATTCCCAAAGTCTCGTCCTTCTGGAAGTAATACTCGACACATCGACGGCACGACTGGGTTATCGCGAGAAAGGTCATTCCTGCAGCCGCACCGCCGGCACCCAAAGTGGAGGCCATCAGAGTCAGGAAGTACATCCCACAAATCGCAAGGCTAATTCCCGTAGTTGTATGATGCTGGTGGGACAAGCACGTAACGTACTCCCAGTAGAACGGCGTGTCAAAGATGTTGGGGTCGAGGTTCTCAGCTCCAGCAGCATGTTCACGGCCCATGCGAACGACCCGCTCGTGTTCTTTCCCTATATCTGACGCGAGAACACCTTCCGAACCGTTATCGGTGCACATGCAGAAGAACAAGGAGAAGTTCGAAACCCGTAATTCTCGGTGACTAACGCCCGGCATTGGAACACCCAACTCGCGACCGCTTTCGTAAACGTCCTGCAGGAGCGACTTCGCGTTGCCCGCTGTCAACCGCGTGCGCGGGATAAACCTCTCGTGCACGATCGTACGGGACCCATCTGGTAAAATTTTCGCATAAGCCATTATGAACGCACTGTTCAGAGCCTTCACAGAGTTATAAGGAGTAGCATCAGTTGCATTCCGTACTGCCAGCAGGGGAAGAGACGCAAGCCTACATGCTCTCTGCTTCTGCGTTTGGTCACACCGTTCTCGTTTCCGCGGCTGTGCGCCTGACCGCAAGCTCTGTCCTTCTCCCGAGCGGATGCCTTTGTCTTCCTTCTTGCCAGTCGAAGCTGAAAACGTGCTATTCTTGCAGCCACCTTCTAATCCTATGGTCGCTGGCACGGTGGTGGTACTCGTGCCTGTGCACTGCACTCCTGCTCCTCCACTTAGCCCTGACGGAGTCGCGGGCCCGGCACTGCGCATTATATCGATGTGCCGCTGGGAATTCCCAACTCGAGTGCTGCCACTGCTATTTCCACTAGCACTAGTACTAGGTTTCTGCTTTGTTTTGGAAACGACAACAGAAGATCCACCTTGTAAAGCAGCATGCGGAAGTAACTCCCCAAGGAAAGCTGTTGTCATCGGCAGCGAATTTTTCTCCGAGGCGGTAGGTTCTATGTCTCCAGCGCCAGGCTTACGCTCCTCTACGACGGCTTCATGCGCTCCTGCGAGGCCAAGCCCTCCTACGCCACCTTCCAACGCAGACGCCCGAGAACGACGATCTGCATCACGCGTTGGTGTATTAACCATAGAAGAAGATGAAGAAGCGGCTGCCGAGTGTTTCGTTGCACCCGCCTGCTTCTGTAAACGCTCACGTTGATGGGAAAGCACCTCGCCAAAAATCAAGCTCCCACTCTGAAAAGCATTACTATGAAGACCAGCAGAGCCTGCTTCTACTGCGCCTCCATATTTCCTGCTCATCAAACGATCCCACTCGTCAACAGGTACAGGATCCTCTTGCTTCTCCTCATAAATATCAGAATCATGAAAGAACACATCATCCACATCTTTGCAACAATCTTGATAATCCTCGATCCCAAGTACGCCGTCGTCTTCGTCTTCCACCCCCACCGTCACGTCTGCAAGCGTAATCACCCTAGCGGTGGCATGATCGATTTCATTTTCAGGCGCGTCTCTCTTGGATCCTAGGCGCAAACGGGTCTGCGATTGCGCCGCTGAAGCACGTGCACAAATAGAGGTAGAGTCGTTCTTGCAGCTTTTTCCCTTTCCAGCACCAAGATGCGTTTCACCATCGCGGCAACCTTCTTTGGCAAATCTCTCTTCCTCGTTCATCATCTGACTCTCGCCCGCTGCTTCACAATCGACGTCCATATCCACTACCTCCATACTGTTACTGTCGGCCAAAGCTGCCGAGCGCGCTGCACGAGTGGAACTAGAAGTGTTGCATTTGGTTTTTGTCGACGCGGATTGGGCGTTCGACTTTGAGCTGCATCCGCCACTTTGAGCATGAGGAAAGAGGTCAGTGAGCAACTGCGTGAACGACATCAAGTTGTTGACAGGAGCAGGCTTAGCAAAAGAACCCGTCTTGATGTAGTTCTCAAGCTCACGCTCCGAGTCGGACGATGGAATAGAGTAAGCTTTGCCCGCAGATGGTGACGCAGACGCAGCTTCCTCTCTCTTCCCTCGCGATGCGCTCTGATCTTTGGCACCTTCATGCTCATGGCCTTCGTCCTGATTTTGGTGGTGACTCGGCAGATCGAGCCGAACCTTCTTCTTCAACGTCCCACGCGAGGACGCTTTCAGGTCTTCGGACCTAATTGCTGGGAGAAGTCCGCGACGTGCACTCCCATCCCTCTCGGACGAGGTCGTGATCTTCTTAGAGTTAGCATAAGTTGTTGTTGTTCCGTCTGCTCCTGCACTTCCACTGCCACCGCCCCCTAGCCCTGGACCATGTCCACCTAGATGAAGACGATCATGCTCCTTCTTAGTAATAGAGCACAAATTTCGTTGCTGTTCGGCTCCTTTGGATTTCTGTGCACCTGCTGCAGAAGATCGCTTTGCAGACACACGACGTTGAGACTGCCCTGGCTTCTGTTGCGACGACGATGAGGAACTAGAGCTCGAGGAAGATGAGTCGTAGCTTGAACCCGACTCGCTTGATTCTGAAGAAACGGCACTATCTGAAGTCCACTCAATACCTTCTTCAGAAGCCTTAGGAAAATCGTCGTCGCGTTCGCGTGTGATGTCCTCTGGAGTCATCTCTCTTTCACGACTTGCACTTGCTACTTCATCTTCAGCTTCACGCTTTTTCTCCTTCTCGTCTCGGGAAGGAGAACTATGCTCCACCTGCGTCTGTTTTTCCTTGCGATTTGCCACCGCGCAACCGACACCAGCATCTTCTTCTTCTTCATCTTTGCTGCTGCAAGGAGTGTCAGCAAGCAGGTCATCCTCCAAGCTTGGAAAGCGAGGGGGCATAGGCGATCCTCTCGTCTTCTTGAGATTCGCCTTTTTCTTATCGCTCACCCCTCCAGTGCGAGTGGAACTGGAAGTGAGTTGCACTTTGCTAGTGAAAGTTGTGAAGCTTCCTTTATTGCGACCTTCAACGTCATCCTTTCCGAGTGAACCCATCGCCCCGTCGGCGTCGTCTCCCACCTCTCTTCTACTTCGAGACAACTCATTCGTCTGTCGGTGTCGCCCGAGCCCGTCGTGATGACGAGCGTCCAACTCTTCTACTGGATCCATGTAGGTGCCGAAGGCTGTCTTGTTATAGAGCTTGCTGCTGCTCGCACTAGAGGCCGAGCTTGCCTTCTCTACCATGCGAGAGCTACCTTGTAGCTTTTTCTCCTCGGCGGGACGCTTTTGAAGCTTCCCGTCATCCCCACCACTCGGAGCCGGCACTACCGGACTCAGCCTTGAGGTAGAGGTCACGTTGTTGGAAAAAGTGTAACTAGATAGCGGATTCTGAAGCAGAGGGTTCACGTTGACGAACTTTCTTCCTTTGATTAGATTTGCATCGTGTTGCAGATGATGCTCCTCGTCCTCGTCTGAAGGGGAAGAAGCGTCAGCATCCGCTTCATCTGTATTAGCAAGCAGGTTTCCATCTAGAGTTCTACTTCTACAACTGCTTCCTACCGGTCTCACTTGTGCTGCCTTTGAGCTTGAAGTTGAACTTGAAGAAGGCACCTTCGACGAAGTCGCGGCGCCGCGTTTGGTGCCCTGCCCTGCGTCCTGCCCTGATGCCGAAAGGGAAACAACCACGCGTCGCTCGTCCGAGTGCGCGGAGACTACTTGCGCACGCTTCGACTTCGATTTCAAGACGCCACTCTCCTGCCTAGGTTTTGCTTTTGCATTCAGTTTCAGTCTGGCACTGGAGTTTGCGTCGATGTTGTTCACAGTGCCAGCACTAGCTCTAGCAGTAGCACTAGCAGTAGCACTACAATTAGTCTTTCCATGAAGCAAGCTCGTAGTCGACGTAGATGAAGCAGACGCTGCGTTCGCTGTAGAATCATCCACGTTGTTGCTGTTGTTGCTTGAGTGAGGATCGGAGTCCAGGTCAAGTGCTGCCCTTGTAAGCTCGTCTGAAAAAATACAGGGAAGCATGGTTTTCTGCCCATGGTTTCCAGATGTCAAATCATGGATTAGCATATGCGCACGCAGTCTCGCAGACAAGAGGAGCAGATCCGCCATGAGTTCCTCTGCTCGCATGGCGAACATGCGACGACGGTTAACTAACCGACGTTTCCGCAGCGCTGCCTCTGCTGCTCGTTTCGCCTGTCCCTGCGTTAGATTTGCAGTCGTAGATGAAGTTGGAGATCCTGTCACGCCTGAAGCAACATTTTCGACGAATGTAACATTCGCAAAACCGAGAAGGTCTCGAAGTTCTGCGTTGTTGAAGAGGTCGTTCTCTGCCATGTCCGTAAAGAAATTATAATCATGCAGCTCCTCGACGAATGGATCAGAAGTCTGGTCGACTTGCAGAGCCTTGGCGGCAGAAGCTTTACCATCTTCGAGTTTAATGCGCTTGTGCTCGTGGTGGTCTTCGAAGTGCCCTCTGGAAAGGTTGAACATCTCGACTTTTGCTGCTGCCGTGCCTCTGCCTGCTCCGATTGCCCATTTGGCGAAGACCTTGGGCTTGAGACCCAATTCGGCACAAATGTCAGTGTAGTGAACGGTTTGATGAGGATCGTCATCGCGTTGACGTTTTGCGGCTGCAGCTTTGGCGGCTGCCTGGGCTTTTGTCTTTTCCGGACGACCAATCCGCGTAACGAGATGCTCAGTGCACTCGAATGTGCAACCGCCACGAAGATTGTAGTTAGCCAACAGAAGGTCGCGCGCGAAAGATACCAGCGCGCATCTGTCTGACGTAGCGTCTTTGCGTCCTTCCACCGCCTTTTTGCCGCCGGTCCACTTCGGATAAATTCGCGTTCGCAGGGTGTCGTAGGTCGGAACAAGATTTGGCGCGCGTCCATTCTTAGCGCCTGCAGCTGCAGCTCGCTCCCGAGACGACTTTGCGACGCCTTCAAATTGTCCTTTTGCTTGTTCTAAGATCTTATGCACATCCGTCAACCGCTGGGGAGCCGGCGTAAGAAGATTCTCTACATCAAGAATGTCCATCTCCTTCTTGGTTGTAGTGGAGCGGGATCAGGGAGAGGAAGATGTAGCTGCACGACGTTAGTGTGGGCGTGAGTGGGGTAGTGGTTGCACTGATGCTACAGCTTGAGCTTGTGGTTTGTGAAAACGTCGAGGTCGACGAAAGAGGACGGGCGGATAGTTGAGTCTGGAACGGAGTCAGATACCTGATACGAATTGTAGATGTAGACCTTGAAAGTTGAAGGTGGAGTGCGCAGTACTACTAGCAATAGGAGTAGGACTAGCACAAGCACTAGGTCTATGTCTAGGCACTACTAGTGACGCTCAAAATAAACAAGCGTCGATAACGATATGATGACTCAGCAGGACGAAACACTTGTGGTTCAGGGATAAACCTGCAAAGCCTCCCACGTGAAGTTGCTGCTTCCGGTTCCGATTTATCTCAAGCGCAGATAACGTCTTCGCCTACTGCAAGACCCTTCTTTGGGAGTGATACCGCCTCGAGTTGTAACGGTGCAGAACCCATGTTGCGATCGGAATCGGTTAGAATACTCCGAAACCGAATAAACGTTTTGCTCTTGAGTAGTCAACGTCTGTCCGCCCGTTCCGTGTACATGAGGATGAGTAGGTTTGAGGTGGAATCATAACACATACGAGATGGCCATGACGTGATAACTACAACGAAAAAAAAGAGAGATGCTTGCAGCTATATGATGCCTTATTCCTTTCTTTGAAAAAATAGAGACAACACTCGCGCGAGATGCCTATTATAATACTACTCTATCTACAATGCAGGCAACGGCGTTTCTGCTGTTGTTTTAGTTGGAGCACTGGCCCTAAGTGCCACTGATGATCTTTCTGATACTTCTGTGGTTGTGGTAGTAGAACTAGAGATAGCACTACTAAAAAGATGACTGAGCGTAGAAAAACAAAACCCGAAGACGAGCGCAGGACGAGGTGCATACTTGCCACGAGTTGCGAAAGCGAATGCGAATCCAACAAGCGATAAGATTACTAAGGATGTCGAGACGCCGAGCAAGCTCAGGATGAAAGTCACTCGAGCAATTTCAGCGATCACGAAAGGATGTCTACAGTTTATCTTACTGCAATTCGACTTACTTCGGGCACTTTCTCGGACTACGATCGAATTCGAAGCAAGACTCTGCAGTGGCAGTGCAAGATGCAAGCACTTATAATATCGAGTTTCTATTTGCGAGCTCATAGTGGACATATACAATTCGAGCGATCTCATAGGAGTACGAATATAATACATTACCTGACGATCCCACCGGGCGAGCATATGGCCATATCGATTTCTTTTCATCAGATAGACGCAAAACCGTCCATGAGCTGCCGGAAGCCACGCCTTGCTCTTCTGAGAAAGCTGCTTCCGCGGCAAAATCCGACGTTATAACCACCGAGGCTAGCCAAACCGGTTCCGCTGGACCATAGGTAATGTGAATGATTTAGCTGGAACCTGCAGGTTCTGATTTGGGAACTCTGTGCGCTCATACTCTCTCCTGAGCTCTCTAGTCTGGTAAATACTCACTCTACGATCTCTAGGGCGACCTCTAGATGCCGAGCAGTCGCTCCTAACTGTAGACGGTTCTAAAGTGCGGCGAAGACGAGGCCGATCTAGTCACAATTCTAGATTACGACTTGAGTACGGCCTGGCCTAGATCTAGATACGTCGCCTGTGCGAGTATGGCTAGCCTTGTCACAGAGTAAGACTAGTTAGAACCCCTCGTAAGCTAAGATCTTAGCGAGCGAGTAATCGCCCCTAACTGTAGACGGTTCTACAGTGCGGCGAAGACGAGGCCGATGTAGTCATAATTCTAGATTACGGCTTGAGTATGACCTGACCTAGATCTAGATACGTCGCTTGTACGAGTATGGCTAGCCTTGTCACAGAGTAAGACTAGCTGGAACCCTTGATAGATCCGTGGACCCTTGATAGATCCGCGGACCCTTGATAGATCTGCGGATCCTTGATAGATCCGCGGATCCTTGATAGATCCGCGGATCCTTGATAGATCTGTGGACCTTCGATCGCTCCACGGGTCCTTCTTTCGTAGAGACGTGGATCCTTCATAGATCCGCGGGTCCTTGATAGATCCGGGGATCCTTGATAGATCCGGGGATCCTTGATAGATCCGCGGGCGGCTTCGGCGCGACGCGCGTCTAGGAGGCGTGACGTGGGAGGCGTGACGCGTCACGCGTCACGCATCAAGGAGAGCGACAAGAGTCACCCTTATAATAGGGGAAACGTATGCGGTGGGACTCACTTGGACAGCTCTACGGCGTTCGGTCCACCTTACGGGCTGGAGACTAGTAATCGATCTCCCTGGACCCAACTTCCAACCTAATAAACAAGCCGCATTCCTCTCGGGAACTTCCTAAGTTTTGACTGGGGGAGCGAGTGCGTTTTCCAAGGCAAGCAGTTACTAACTCAAGCCACAGACTTACCACCTAGTTACCAAGGGGGCTACCCAGCTCTATCCAAGTAGACTGCCTCTCCATGACTTGACTGCGCGAAAGTTACTGCAAACGAACTCAATCCACGACAGTTCGACCCTAGCAGAGCTACTGCGTGCACACCTAAAGCGGGCCGCGATTCCTCTTCTACAAAGAAACTCAATAAAGGAGCCCCTACGCTGTAAGCTACCCGCATCCGATTAACCTAGACCAGGGAAACCTACGGAGCGAATGAACCCAACGAAACCCAACGCCGCTCGATCTACAGCACGCGCGGACTAGATAATGCCAGTTCTCTGATATAGACCGAAGAAAATTCTTTACGCCAGTGGATCGGTCCGCGGGTGTGCCATGCTATCAGCTGAACAACCTCCAAGCGAGTCCATCAGTCTGGGCACTGACGCGCGACGCCTCTTCTTCGAAATCTAGCAGCATACATATCTACGCTCTTACTCTACACACCCAAATAACTCTTGCAACTGCGGCAAAGTCATCTATCACCTCAGGTCTTGCTTTTGCTTGTTTTGCGTGCGAAGCTCATTCATGACCACAGACAAGAGCGGCAATCAGTGGCACAGGTGCAAGAGTCATCTATGGAACCCGTCAAATCTGAGCCCTTCCCGCACACTGTTGCGTGCTGCATGGCGCTTAAAATTGAACCCGGACACCCCTCCCACCCCCGAGGCTCTGCGCGTGACGCGGTGGGCGTCACGCGTCACGGGAAAGCTTTTCGGCGTTCCGTAAGTCCCACGGAAATCAACTCAGAAGAAATGAACTTAGAAGAAAATAACTTAGAGAAAATTAATCCAGAGACACTCCCGCAATTATAAGTAGCCACTTAATTCACTCAGGGACACCTAACCCGGAAGCACTTAGCACTCAATTCAGAGGCACTTAATGCCAAGACACTTAGGCGAAGGGCACCCTTTGCAAAGACGCCAAGTAATAGCCCACCAGGGACGTCACTCACAAGGATTTACCTCGAAAGCACTGGGCTGGAGACGTGGGGCCCTGCTGCTCTTGTTGTTGTAGAATTCCAGAGAAGAGCGCGGCAGCATGTAGCAAGAATATGCAAACGATGCGCCATCTCCTGACGCAGCCGTGTGTAGCAAAGCCTCCACGAAATTACTCAAACACAAAGGCGAAACGAATAGGCACGAGGCAGATCAACCCGAGCACTTGATAGAGCGCCCCGCCCTATCTCTAGACTGTCGCCCCCTCCAAGATCTGACAAAAGACACGCAACGCCCGGCCCTTTCGTATAGATCTCTCCACAACGATGCGCACAACACACAGCATTTACCGACCCCCTTGGGGTGCCTCTACAGCCGAAACAGATCAGCGCCCTGCGCCCATATTTCGAAGTCCATCGGCCGCCAAATGATACACCCGCTGACAGAAACAAGAAAGGCCTGCTATCGCCGACTGTGGTCTTATTTCTGCTACGTAGTGCTACTGCTTGCCTCTGCTCCTCGCATTATTCCCCGAAGTCATGACTTTCGCCACCTCGCTAACAACGCCTAGGCGGCGTCGCCGTGTCCTCATCTGCTCGAGATCACATGACCCCACAACAAGAAGCGAAGCTATCGGTTACCAGGTGCCCGGGTTACAGACATCGCGCAAAATCTACCTAGTTTCATCGAATTCAAAAAGCCAAAGGAAGCGCTCGCCTCTTAGTCCTGTCCAAAATTGGACAGCGTCAAGCGCTTGACAGTAAACAAGCAGCAAACTGAAGCGCTCGCCTCTTTGTCCTGTCGTCCTGGACAGAATCAAACTCTTCACAGCAAACGCCGCACGCCTCTCGTTATCCTGCGACGCTTCGCTCCAACGTACGCAGCCAGCTACCAAGGAATGCACCAAAGGGATCCGGTGACTGAAAACCAAAAAAACGCTTTAGAGCTAGAAACCCAAGCGGGCCGCCCTAGTGATCAACGAAAAAGCGCGCGCTTTGTTAAAAAAGGAGGACACACATACAGAGGGCCCCCCTTCCTAGTAGTCGCGGAAAACACTGAGCAGGCGAGCCCAGAACGCTACCAATTCCAGGCTTTTTGCAGCCAAAGCGCGCGAGGCTTTTTGATTGTTTAAAGAGGGAAAAGCTCAGCTTTCAATACGGAACACGATGGGGCGCCTCGATTCTTAAGGGGACAGCGACGCCGGACAAGGTTGCAGACTTCGGCCCTACAGACTGGGCAGATGATGACCGGCGCCAGCTAAATAGTACGCGCCCCAATTAGCTATGTCGAGCGCCTTCGCTATTCTGGCATATTTCTAATCTCCTCCGCGGTGCAAAGCGGGTTTAGCCCAAGGGCCTCGTAGTAGTCCGGCTGTGTTACATTTTTGGTAATTCTTCTCCGCAACTCAATGATCTTACTCAAAGTAGTTTGTTTAGTAGCCAACTTATTAGCCTTTCGCCCTTCTAGACCCAATTACATAGCCATACTCATACTTCACAAATCGCATTAGTTCGTGGCTGGAAAATAAAGTAGAACTCTCAATCCTTCGGGGACGTCAACAGCAGTCCAACACCTGCATATCTCATAGCAACAAGAGCTATGCAAATTATAGCGAATACAAAGACAGCCAGCTTCTCGTTCTCAGTGGTTCCCATGCTCAAAATGCTGCTGGGGCCTCCACTTTTCGGCTCATTTTCCGGAACGGTTTCCCCAATCGCAGTAGTAGCCGTAGTCCTGTCTTCTGCAGTTCCAACCGTAGAAGTTTCCGCAGTCCCAGACGCAGAACTTTCCGCAGTTCCGACCGCAGAACTTTCCGTCTGTCCAGCTATCATTAGATGAAGTAAACAATTTAGTATCTCGTAATGTATTAGCACGTAAGATCATAGAATAAGACGGGATCTTGATGATCTTGTGACTCGTCGTGCAGTCTAAGGGTAGAGGAGGAAGAGGTAGAGGAGGACGGGGAGGAGTCGGAGGGGGATAGTATCATCATGTAGAAAGAAAGGGCTGCCCGCTGAGTTAGTATCTAAGTGGCTGCACGAAGTACCAGAGTCAGATTCTTGATCAAGTCTCTCTATTCTCTCTTCTTATCTTATCACACATCCTTAAGGTAGCGGAGGAGGACGAGGAAGGGGAAGCGGAGGAGGAAGAGGCAGAAAAGGAGGCGGACTGCGAAGGAGGGGCTGACTGTAAGTGGGAGGATGCTGGAGTTAGGATGCCTTCGGCCTCAGTCGACCAACTTTCGGCATTAGTCAACCCACTGGTCTCAGCCAGCCCTTGCTGCGCCTGAGAATTGTCGGCGTCAACAGCGTCCACCGCGGTTTTGGCATTATCCATCCCGCCTTTGGCAGTAGTCGCCGCGCCTTTGGCAGCGGTCGCCGCCAGTCGGGCTTCGTTCCCCTTACCGCTGTCTCCGTTCACAGCTTCGAGAACACCTATGGAGTTCATAAGGATGAAGAAGCGTTCCCTGGTATTTCTTTCAAATTCAAATCGTGACATATCTTCACCTCTTTCCTAAACTTAATGTTATGGGCCTTTATCGAAAAAGAATCGAATGCGTTAAAATGGAAAGAGACAGCAAGGACCACAAGAAAGATACGAAGAAGGACTTGTTGCCGTGGAAGTTAGAAGCTAAATCCTGCCAATAGTCATCCGTGTAATTTCAGGACCCTATTAGTACTTTTCTGGCCTGCTGTGGTTGCCGCGTTGTCAGTTTTCTGGAGCATACTCGCGACCTCGCGACCCCCATGAGGATTCGTATCCAAACCCGCTTCTTCGCTGTAATATTCAGTCTCTTCAAAAGCCTGCGCTTTTGATGTGATCCGCATGGCCTTGCGGCGCTGGCGCTGCTTCTTGTCAATTGCGAAAACGGCAGTGGATGGACGCCCCAGGTCCGCAGTCATCATGGTACCGAAAAAGCAGCAGAAAAACGCAACAAAGCAACGGCGAGGACCCAGGGAGCAGGACTCTGACAAGTAGAGATGATAAAGAGCAAGGCCCTCTTGATGTCGATGGGGCTGCTTGCCTCCTCTTCTATCTTTTTGGTGCGTCTTATTGTTCTTCTGTCGACGTGCTAGACGCGAAGATGATGTCCTCCTTGAGAGGACTTCTGTCCCCAAGCAATCAGCGGCCGCTGGTCCTCTCAGTGGCTGAGCCCAGTCTTGGCGAGTCCATGCCCAGTGCCGTACTCGATAGCGGTAAGACCAAAGGAAATGCGATAGGTCGTCGCAGGTGTTGACCCAGAAACGGCGCAGCCACCTCCGCACACTCCTGTTACTACTGCCCCTGTTGTGGACCGCGTAGCCGGACACGGATTTCGAACGGTGTTGGTATTCCAACCACGCCTCAAAGAACTCGTACGCGAGCACAAGCCCCACGAGGAGTGTTGCACCTACCAACAGAAACTGCAGGCATCTCAACAGCATTAACTCGAATACAACTTCAGCTGCCATCAGCGTACACGAAAGTGCCACGGACAGCAAACGCCCGCAGTGACCGAGCAAGCGCCACGCGCTCGGTGTGGTCAAAAACAAAACGCTAGTACTTGCAGAAATGAGCACGATCATGCTTACGCTGATCCAAGATGCTGTAGCGCGCATCCACATGACCCTGTTTGCCCCCACGTTTTCGTCCCGTGCGTCTACATCTCTTCGATGACAAGTGTTTCGCCGTTGCCTTGCAGTGGCAGGCGCGCAGAAGAACGGCAGACAAGAGGACGCCCACAACGTAAGCGCTACACCTGCATCAGAAAACGCAACTCGTGCATGCAAGGCCACGCTGATGATCAGGAACAGCACAGAAGTGCACTGCTGGACGAGTCGACGAAATCCTGCAGCACCTTGAAGGATAGCCGGACGAAAAACGGGTAGCATATTGACAGCTGCCGGCTTTGTCCCTGAGCGTCAGGAGGCGTTGTATTTATTAATAAATATAATAAGTAAATAAGTATGTCTTCTATTCTATTTCTTTCTGGGACTTGTTGTGGGTCATTAAATCAGGATAGAACGTTTTAAGACGGGTAAAGACCACATCAGGGATCACTTATATAAAGACCTTGCTTCCGTAGAAGACATTCAAAATGAGAGCTACATCCTGGCCACAAAACAGTAATCATCTAAGTATGTAAAAATCCGACGACCTTTATTTATTAATACCTTGTGGGCCGTCTGCTGTGGTGGCCACCTTGTCACTTTGCTGGAGCATCCTCGTTACCCCACGACTCCCATAATGATTCGCATCCACGCCCGTTTCTGTGCTATCTTCAGCCGCTGCCTCATACATAAACTCCGTTTTCTGTGTAGTCTTCTTGGTCGTGCGGCGCTGGTTCTTGTCGATGGTAGCAACTAGCCCTCCGCTACCCCCGCCCGCGCATCCAGCGTCGGGGATTGCCAGGCGAGCGAGCTTGGACATGAAGTTACTTCGATGTAGATCTCTTTTGGTTGTTGTTGTTCATTCTCTTCCTCACCCACAGGGGAAACGACCCAGGCAACTCCTTACACTTCAGTCAGATTCTTCAGAAAAATGCAAGCTGTTGGTTTATAAATGTTGATGTAGTACTATGCTCGTCCCTCTGCACGTCTATCAGAACTACCCTGACTTTTTAAAACACCACAACAGGAACAGTTGGCAGATAAGCTATCACTGCCATACAATGCTCATTGTGATTCGTGACGTTTCCTTTCAGTAAAAAATCTGCGCTATATTTGTCCCCTTTATCGTCTCTTCAGTTTCCACTCTCTCTCTCTCTCTCAGGGCTCACTACTCCTCTCACCATCGGTTCTTCATGTCCCTTTCATTCTTTTCACTCTTCTCTATCCTTGCTTCCCTTGCTTCTCAATATTTTCTGCCGCCATTTGCGCTCTAGGTGTCTGATAACTCTTCCACGTCTAAGTCGTAGCTCTTATCGCGAGCAACACCTTGGTCCATTAGCACAAGGCCCAGGTGGAGGTATGCCTGTGGTTCATTTAGATAATTCAGATTCTTTAGGTCTTCGCGATTCCAAGCTTTCCCTCCTGCTCAGAAATCAGATTTGGATTTTTTAGATTTTAAGAAGTCAACTTCGCCTAGATTTAGAAACTTTAGAAGATTGATTCAACTCTCCTTTTCATGACATGAACCATTTCGGCTCGTAGACGATGAGGGGTATCAATGCACCGTATCCATAACACGAAGGGAGGGGAAACGAGAAGGACGGAGTAGAAAGTTGGACGATCATGTAGAAAGTTATAATCAATGATGCAAGTGACCGGAAGCCGTGTTTACCTTGGCTGCAAGTGACCGCAAGCTCTGTGCGGCTTAATCCATGCTTCCTTTTAGATTCGAAGACGGTCTACAGAAGTCTACAAAAATAGTCTGCGCCGTCGCGTGACGCGGGAAGTGTGCTCGCGCTCCGCTAACTGCAAAGTAAGTTAGACCTTAACGAGATCATCTTGCCTGTTTGGGAAAGAACTCCATCATTCTTTCCTCCTTTACGAAACTCTTTAGCAAGTTTTCCCTGTAGAAGCGGTAGAGTTCTATCAAAGAACTCTAAATCTACAAATAATTGTTCTCCTTTCCTCATCCTATTTATTGCTTTTGCTTAGGAAAAGGAATATACTACTGGGCTATTTGTCTTAACAAAGCATCTTCCTCCACCAATTTCTCCAATCGTTCATTCCCAGCTTTCAACATGCGTCGAAATCTCCCGAATGCAGCAATTATGAAAGAGGCGGGAAGGAAGCAAGACCTCTGCTAAGGTTCTTTAGATTTCTTTACAACCAACATGTATCTTCAAGGAACCAAAAATCTAAATTTTCTAATAAATTTGCACATATTCGCTTCCGATTTTGAAAAACAAGAAGGGAACAAAACAGCGAGAGGCCGTCTTTCCTGTCAGAAGTGTCACGACAACTTCTAAAAAATCTAAATCTTTCTAAAAACACCTGAATGATCTAAGATCTTCACTATCCATTTCCATACCGTTCACGAGATGCCATCGGTCTTCCAGCACAGCACTCGGCTTACCATCTTCGCCATTGCCTAGGGCAGCACTCGGCTTACTGTCTTCGCCATTGCCAAGAAGAACAGGAGTCGAGCAGTTGGTACTGACTTGCTCACCCTTGACTAGACCGCCACTAAGGGGTATCACTGATCCAGGCGCAACTGCATGCCTTGGCAATCGTGTATGCACAACATCTCCCTTTTGCGCAGCCTCCGTCTCTGTTGTTAGAAAGAGATTTTTGACTCTAGTTCCAGCTGTAGCGCTACAATGAATGAATCAATGTGTACTAGAAAAACAGACAACGAAAAATCTAAAAAATCTAAATTTCAAATTCAACTTTCTAAAAGATCTAAACTAAAACTTCTACGACAAACACAAAGGAGAGGAAAAATCTCCATGAGCATAGTTGCCATATCAGCTTCTTCTCCACTCTGCGGTACTCCAAAGACCGGTCATCACCGGCTCCTTCTAGCATTAGCGACAGGTGCTTAAGAACATAGAAAGAGACATCAATATTCAAAAATCATTAATATATCATAAGTATGCGGCTGCTGATGCTGTTGTAAAAAAACTTCGTATTAGCATAACGTCATCGCTAGTACTATTCGTTGAGCAAAAAAAGATCAACAACTTCAACCTAGTATGTCGAAGATCACAATCATGAGAAAGTATGCCACTATCTATTGGTTGAGTCAGGTGGACGTAGTAACCATAAGTTAACCAATTTCTGCCAGCCCTTGGTATCGATATTGTGATTCCCATCCGCTACTTGAGAATCAAGCTGTCCAGGACGTGCGACATTCCCTGTTGCACAACCTGCACTGGAAATAGACCGTTTCGCGCTCATCCAATCGTCAAACGCCCCTAGAACGGTACGCCCAACATCCTCCACCACAACCCGACTCATCTGTATTCCTGTAGTCGTTGCGCGTCATGGGAGAAAAGCTCATTTTCGGAATCTCAGCAAGATAAGTCCACAAGGTCCTCTTCGGAATCGCAGCGAAGACCAAGAGCAATGAAAAGGATGCTGTATCAGCTCCCAGGCCCAGCAGCAGAAGCACTGCCCTTGCGGCAAAAAGACCCTTCTATCCAGAGCAGTTTCAGCAGGAAGACTACTAACGTAAACGTAAATGTAACACGTCCTGCTACTACTATAACCGTAACTACGTCACGACCGTCTACTATACAGCGTCTAAAAATCGATCAGCTCGTACTAGAGTACATTTGCGTGTGATCCAAGCATGAGAAGAATATTCAAAGTGTGGGGAGATCCAAAGTGTGGGGATATCCAAAGTGTGGGGAGATCCAAAGTGTGGGGAGATCCAAAGTGTGGAGACGATACGGGCACCGACGACATTGGATGTTCGACGTTGTTTCTTGCACACATCCAGATGATGGCGATACAGATGATGTCCTTGCCAAATTACCGATACCAGTATCAAGATCATACTCTCCTTGCCAAACTACCGAAGGTTGCATCAGAATGCTGTTGCCAAACCGATAGCTGTGCCTAGATACTTACGCCGAAGCACAAGCTAGATTCCAGATGCCTCGAAATGAGACGAGAACCGACAGTGGCCAATCACAGCAGACGAAAACGGTGGACACTCACGAGGGCATTTCTTTCGCAAAGGACACGCCCGAAGTCGTCAGTTAGAAACAACCCAGTAGATGGAGATCATCTAAATACATAGGATAGAATACTGACTAGAGGGCGAGGGTGTGGAAATTCGCATGTCAAGATTGATCTTGGTGCTAAAAAAGGACATGTGACGGATGAATTCACGCGGGGTGTTCTAGAGGTTCTTTATCTTGTTTACCTAGTAAAAGGGTGATATAAAACGGGACCCATGCCTAGTTCTGAAGGGGAGATCGACATCGAGATTTTCGATCTATAATTTTTGGAATGGCCCATACTAGGAATTTCATACTGGAATTGGGGTTTCGAATTCTTCAATTCTTGGCGTCCGAACGTGCATTACTTACTTACGCCATTTGGATTTAGATCTATTTAGATTTTCATGTTCAAAAACATCATTGTCAAGAGTAGATTCAATAGATTCACGAGTAAATTGATGATAGTATTTAGATTATTTAGATTTAGGATTTAGAAAACTATTCAGTGTTCAAACAACGATCATTGTGAGTCACGCGTTACACCATAGGAAACATTCACAGCACTAGCAAGATTCTTTTAGGAAACATTCACAGCAGATCAATCTATGTTGAATATTGCTCTCGTACTAATACAGACGGACGGTGGACTTGGACATCATCTTGGCATACATCAATGGGGAGGTGTGTCTCCCTAGGTCTCTTTAGATGTTGTTGTCTCCATCGTAGAGGACTGTATCTATCTGCTTCGAATCTTTCGTCCAAGTAGCTTTTTGTTCAGCCTTAGTTTAGCCAGAGCCAAAAGTTGATGTAGCTGTACATTTCTATGCATAAGCAAATGGTGACAATCTAACTCCAATAGTGTCCCAGAAACGAATGATCCTCGAAATGAAAAAGCACACTACAAAACTAAGCTCTCCTATCGCTTACTGCGATCTTTGTCTTTAGATCTCTTAAAACGACCTTGCCTCTAGTAAACTACGCTCACCAAAACAAAAAATAGTCTTAGTCTTAGTCTTAGCAACGAGTGTCTTATTACAAGATGATGCTTGTACTTTCTTAGCAACGAATTAGAAAAGCCTCAAATGGATGCATCGAATTTTTGTCAACTACTAACAGGCTTAGGTGTGGAAACTCCGTCCTATGCTCTGAGTCTACTAACTCTGACAGTTACAAAGAAGAAAAAGTGCTTTTTAGATTGTGATTGAGATGATGGATCTTTAGTTTATTTGGTAAAGTCTCTATTGTGGTGCTATCGGTTATATTATGGTGCTACAACGTCTGTCACCTGTGCTCCCGCAGCTTGTCCACTAGCACCCTCTGCGCCGGTGGTTGCCGCCGGTTGGTTTTTCTCGAATAAGAACACCGCCAACTTCGTGAGCAACATGGTGACCGTTTGTCGGACTTCCGTACTATACCCGTAGCGACTGAGGTCGTGCAACGCCTTGTGGCCGCCGATCTTGTTCACCGCCAAAAGGGTTGCCCTCCAACTCACAGACCTTCAGATACAGATCCACGATCATCGGAGCCGGGCCCTGGGCCACCAAGATGCGCTCCCACGGACCACCGAGGACAATCGTTAGGAGGAGAAATCGGTGATCACACAACTACGAAAAGAAGCACAGGCATCCGATACTGCATCTAAATCTAGTAGGTGGCCTGCTGTTATAATGATGACGTTATTCGATTCGGATTGGACTGTGACTTGCTAGTACAATACGAAGGAAGAATTCATATCCGCCAACAATTTACGTTTAGATTACTTTCCAGGAGTCAGTTTACAGTATGTCCAGTTGTCATGAATTTAGATTATTTAGAAATGTAAAGAAGTCGTATATGAAGTTCGTAACTTGATCATCGCAGTTTTGTTGTTGAAGGCTTGGATGATGTGCTTGGTGCAGTATGTGAGCAAGTCGTAGCCACCCTGTTCGTTGGCAAACGCTACTTTCGCCGTAAAACCCGTCGCAAGTCAGGAGTACATCAATACTGCTGAAGTTAGAGAGGTTTTTCAGGTAATTCTTTGTTTTGATGGTAATCTACTTATAAAAGAAGAGTGGTGCAGCCAACCTAACTAGTATAAAGTTAACTGTCTAAGTATACCTTCTTTTAAACATTTAGGTACAAGCAGATAACTGCTCTTAGCCTACTCACCAGCAATCTATAGACCCTATAAAGTAGTCATAACATCAACAACAATCCTTAACTGCAGCGCTGAGCGAACCCCGGCAGCTGCCCGGACGTAGAGGAACAACTTCATCTCGGAGAATCCACCGTCATTGGCGTCCATCAAGTCTCTAGGTGGAATCTGCTGGGAGAGGATGTTCTGAATCTTCATCAGCTGGAACAACGCGGCACCACGAATTCTATCTGGAGTTGGAGTTGATGTTCTTATCATGAAGACGATGCTGAACAAAATGAAAGATCAGTCAAGGACCTGATTTTCTTAAAAAAGATATTTCATCTGGTTGCCTTTCATTTTAGAAGAATACTTGACTGTGACGCTGCTCGTTGGTGCGTGTTCACTGCGAAGGCCAGCGCGTGGAGAAGGTGACAGAGATAGGTCGAATACTGAGGCCCCTCCCGAGTCTTAGAGCCCCTAGCTTTCAACAGCCGCTGGTCTTCACGGGATATTTCATCAGTCAGCAACTCCAATAGCTGTAGCATCGGATCCTGACACCTGAGGTGGGAATCAAAAAGAAAAATGTGCCTCCTCGGAAATGGAGAAATCATCTTCGTCTAGCGTATGCTATTGTGAAAGGGAGGGCCTCCCACGTATTGACACAATAAAAATCTAAATTTTCTAAAAAACAACATGAACATTCTCACATTCAAAATAAAATACGCACTTACCCATTTATCTTTCAGAAAGAAGAAATATAAGTAGTACTCACAAACCGCATCTCTGCGAAAATCCACGGGGTCTGGCGTCGTGACATCATCAAGCGCTGGCTGTGAGACGGCCGCGAGATGGTCTGGTCCTGCGGATGATGGGTCTTCTCTGGCACTCCCGATACTTGGCGGCGCCTTCTTTGGGGGAACCAGGCAAGGTCTTAGAAACTTGACCTTCTATATTCACGTACTTTTTTAGCTTGTTCTCCATTGTACTAACAAGGATGAGTAGAAAAGGTTGAGATTTGTATTTTTCATGCCGTCAGCAGGAGTTTTTGTTGTACCTTCTACTACTGCGTAGTTCTTGTACCACGCTCAACTAAGAAACTACAGGTTGTCATAACTGTCCAAGCAGGTAGGTAGCCAAAGACCGAATACTGCGTCCGAAGGCAAGCTCGTGCGTGAAGGACAGCCACCGGAAAATAAGGCTGTATCAACCAAGGTTCCAAGATATGCTGTCTGAACCGTCACGGGCAAAGGGCTGAGACGGGTCTGGGACAACACCGTTCGAAGCGAAGTTCGATATGCCGATCAACAGCGACTCTTGATGCCTAGTATTGGGAGTGGTGTATTTGGAGTAGAAGATTGGTCCTGGGTTGTTCTTTTAGAATTTTTTGGCATTGTTTTCATGCAATTACATGTACATCGAACCTTTGACGGATTTACATTTTTTGAAGATTTAAAACGAACGACAAAACTCGAATAGACGAGGGTATACATCCGTACGTCCTTGGCATGCATTGTCTGAATCTATTTGCACTTACTGTGAGAGTAGATTGGGTCGTGTATACCAAGAATAGAAGTACTTATAAAGTCGGTGTTAATATGAGTACTGAAAGAATTTCGCGAGCACGGATTCTTGGATCGTGTTGCTGCTTCAGAGACGTCAAAATGGAACTCAAGACCAGCTGCGACAGGTGCACTCTTGGGTACGGCAGGAGAAGTGCACGCGTCACCGGTATAATCGCGAAGTGGTCCACCAAGTGAGTGAGGAAAAATTCTGGCGCCTCCATAGCACGTAAAGACGCTGCTAGTCCTCCTAACCGGATCGAACTGTCCCAACTTTGGTTCATCACGTCACAAGTGATCTTCGCAAACACACTGCACAACGAAGGTTAGAAGACGGTGGGAACGAGGTACTATTCGATGAGAGAAGAGAATAATGAGATAGCAGTCGACCCTACATGTGAAGGGGGCAGTATGAAAAAGTATCCCCCAATTTCAAAAATGACGGCAGCGGCAGCTACCGCTCTCTTCAATCTAAGGATTCTCAAGAAATTTGTTGTAAAAGCTAAAAACTCGTGTTCATATCAGGTTAGGTGAGGCTGTGAACCCTGCACATCGAACCCTCCCGGCACCTGGTTCGACTCCGAGGATGATTTAGTGACCTGAACAAAGTCAACGTCGTGCACCGAGGCCGGCGCCCTGAGTAAAGTCGTGGCCATTAAATAGGACCGACGTCCACACGGGTCACCCCACTCCCCTCAAGGACCGACAAATCACTCTTACATTCTTTTTTCTTTGTGCTTCTTGCCCTGACATCCTCATCTACTGCAAGAGCGCCACACACCCACAAATCTGCACGCTAGCGCAACCGCTACCGCAACCGCTACCGCATAAGCCTTAACGCTACGATATGACCAGAAAGCCCTAAAGCGAGACACGAAGCCACCGGCTCGCTATTTGGTGCCATGATGGGCGGTCACGCATTTATGGGATGAACTGGTCACGCATGAGCTTGCGAGGCTGTGCTTCAGCCTGTAGCTTTTCACTGTCAGGATTGTGCACATGTCGCGCACTTGTGCTACTACAGTTGTTTTCTTTCTTTCCCTTCTTCATCTTCTTGTTTCTGCTTTTCTTCTGATCCATCCGCTTCCTAACCGCGCTCGCCAAGGTGGCTGCACTGGTACTAGTAGCTTTCTGCATGCTGTTGCCCTCGAATCGGCTAACATACTGCTGCAAAGCAGCTTTTTGGCCATCGCCTCTCACCTCCATGATGCCGGGGACCATGACGGCAGCACGCGCTAAGAGCTTCTTCTCCTTGAACATGGCGGCCCGGCCTCGCCGTTCTTCGTAGTTCCGCACCGGTCCAAAAAGATTGACGAGCACCATTAAGCCAAGCTCCATACACCTTCTCAAAATATCATACCTGCAAGAAGCTCGCGCAAATTCTGTGAGCGTGGTGGGCCAAGACCGTGTTCGAATGGTTCTCCCAGATGAGACAGAGCATGCTAAACATCCTATAACTCCAGTGAAGACCCAAGTTCTCGAGAAACCAGTCCGTGTTATATCTGCTCAAAGCGCAGATGGAGGTTAGAAGAGGCAAGACAGAGGTAGCAGTAGAAAGAGTTCAAAGTCGAGGACCTGCGTAGTTCTTCAATGAAGAAAATGATTTATATAAAGGCGTCTTCATCTAGTAGAGGTGTACTAGACGGAGGTAGACGAGGTAGTGGCAGTTCCACTTCCGGGCAATCGAACTTCAAAGCCCATCTAAGTAGGTAGCTCTTCAATCAAAAAATGATCTCGATCTTCATGAGAATCACCTCTAGATCTAGCATTTGTATTCATCATAAGTAGAAGATGACGAAGCGTTCCTCGAAGGACACGTCTACGGGTACCGCTATCGATCCAACCATCTCGAATATGAGTTCCCGCCACCGATTGTGATTGACCTGGGCAAACATAACTTTTGCCGTCGGCGCCGTCGCTGTACTAGAAAAATATTCCCGTCCATCGGGGACCTGCAAGAGCAGCTGCAGGGCGATTGAGGCCACCTTTTCAGCCACTCCTGACCCAGTGTCTCGCTTGATCCAGCCTTGACGCAGCGGCTTTTTGAAACTTCCCCCAACGTTTATGTTGACCCCTTCTTCGCTGCCTTGTAGCTGGATCTGCAGCTCGTTCTGCTCCTTAGGTGTCGGCATCAACGCGCAAGGAAGCAGAGCTCGAGAATCGTCGTAGACGATGGACTTCAACATGAGCAGGACACAGCACAGCATGCTATCGTAGAGACTCCCAAAACGCTTGGTCTGCTCCGGCTTCTCTTCCGCAGTTGCAGCAGAGTCCTGCGCTTCACTACGACCCTCTCTAGCAAGAGTGATGGAGGACGCTGCAAAGCCTGCAGCTGAGTCAAACTCAGAAGAACGATGAGAAGGTTTTTGCCATCCTCTGAGTTTGTCACTACGAAAGAGCTTGGTACGCAGAAAGAAGTTATTTCGAAGGATAGGATAGAGTGCCGTTGCTGACTCTTCACGCAAGGTGTCGAGACGAACGCAGGCGAAGCGCCCCAAGGAGGACGTGGTGCTCGCCTCTGAGGACTTTAGAAACCACTAATGCACTAATCCTAATCATGAAACTACCTTTCTTCTAGCGCTCACAAAGAACATAATTAAGTTCCTGTTCGACGCTTGTTTTTGTGCCTCCTGCTCTGCTGCCTCTTCCTCTTCTTCGGCTGACTGCACGGGTGGACTGGGAAGACTGCAGATGTAGAAGACAACAGAGGGCGACAGGGGACGACTAGAGACACCAGAAGACAACAAAGACAACAGAAAACGACAGAGGACAACAAGGGGCAACAGCGTGCAACAAGGAACAGCGAAAACGACAAGAGGCAACAGACGGCAGCAAGGGACAACGATAGACAACAAGGGACAGCGAGAGACAACAGAAAGCAAGGACAAGGGACAGCGGAAGACAACGAGAGACGACAGAAAACAACAAGGGACGGCGAGAGATGGCAAGGACTAACAGGAGACAACAGAGAGCAACAAGAGACAACAGAAAACAACAAGGAGCAACAGAGGACAACGAAGGGCAACAGAGAGCAGCGGGAGGCAACGGACAGAAAACAACAAGAAACGCCAAGGACAACAGAGGACAACAAGAGGCAATAGAAAACAACAGCGAAAGACAGAAGAAGACAAAAAACAAGCAACAGAGGACAACGAAGGAACAAGAAACAACAGGGGACGGGGGTAGAGAGGACACGCGCGCGGCCAGCCGCAGAGCCCTGGCGCACGGAACCCCATGCGAACGGGTGGCACAATGGAAAAGAACAGAAGCCCGAGGAAGCCGCGACGGGGGCAGAGGCGTGCGCGGCGCTGAGCAAGCGGCCACCCGCTGGCAGAACCTTGGCGCGAAACCCCTGCGAGCGGGTGGCGCAGTGGGAAAGAACAGAGGCCCGAAAGAGCCGCGACGGGGGTAAACTAGAGAAGACACACACACACGGCCCGCCGCTGAACCCTGGCGCGCGGAATCCCTTGCGAATGGGTGGCGCAGTGGAGTAGAAACCCGAAAAAGCCGCGACGGGGGTAGAGACGCGCGGCGCGGCGCTGAGCGCACGGCCACCCGCTGAACCCTGGCGCGCGGGACCCCCTGCGAACGGGTGGCGCAATGGAAAAGAATAGAAACCCGAAAGAGCCGAGACGGGGGTAGAGAGGACACGCGCACGGCCAGCCGCTGAGCGTGAAGGGCAAGAAGCAGGAAACGCAAAGGCCGGAAGGCATTGACAAGACAGCCCCCCGACCCTGTTCCCCCTCGGATCTCCTTAGTGCACTTACCTGGCAGTTTGTTTTTTCCTCCTCTCAGTCCCTATGCCACAAACTAAAAACAAGAAAGCTGAATTTTGGTGCGTGTTCCTCTATTTCGCTCGTCATTGTTGACGCCAAAAGCGCCGGGGGCTTCTTGGCTTTCACGGTCCTCAAATGTCCAAGAGAAGCAAGAGCGCGAACAAATCAGCTTACTTAGGGCGCTCGGCCCGCGCTCGAAGTAGTTCTTTTTTACCTACTTCCCAGGGGGTGGCGCTCAGGCCCTGACTATAAAAGAGCAGCGACAAGGGCCGAACTTGTAAGCCTGAAGCCATCCAGTGAAATGCCACAGAATTTCAACCAGCAACGCTTTACTTCGTTCAAGGTGGCCACTTTCCACTAAGAAAAGAGAAAGCCCATAGATGCCTAGCGACTGAAAAAGTCGACCAAATGCATGCCCCCCTTTTTTCGGTCGTCTTTTTTAGGGGCTTGCGAAGAAACTAGTCGAACGGGGGCCAACTTTCTAACTAGGAGTGAGAAGCCTACTGAAGAAGTTTTACCTATAAAGACGGGGAAACATGTCGCAACTGTTTTCGCCTTCAAGGTGGCCACAGTGGAACTTGGGTAGGCCTGGCTGGTCAATACAGCCATGACCGCGAGGATTCTAATGCGTGTGGGTAACTGGCTACAAACTTACTGACTGGGCGACGTGACCCTTTCAGAGCCTTAACGGGGAAAGACGTGTGGCCCAGCTAGTCTAGAGAAAAAGCCTACAGCTTGCCGTCGGGGAAGGCTTTGCACTAGCGATGTCAGTGAGGGTTCTTCTGTTGACTCCGCAGCGCCAAGCCCTTGCTTAGTTGCTAAAATCTACCAAGGAAAACCGGATATCCTACCAAGTCCCGGTAAGGACACGAAAGAGGTCGCTTTCCACTTGCTTCAGACCATGAGGCATTCTTGTCAGGTCTGCGACTTTCCTAGCGCTTGGTCTGCCTCAATACACCTACGCCGAACCAACTAAAAATAATGTAGGAAATACGAGGAAAGGGACGTGGCTTCTTCGTTACGAGTTGTCCTCAATCTCGTCTCTTCTCCTGGCTTTCCAGCTCGCAACAGACTGGTAAACCCTCAACAGACTGAAGTGCTCTCTTCGGAGGTCTCAGCAAGCCGAGAAAGACTCGTGATCAAGGATGTCATAATAATATTCGACCCGCAACTCCGCAGCTCATCACTATTAACCCAGCTCGTCACTATTCATCCAGACCAAAACACAGAAAATTCCTTCAGGACGTCATTGATTTAGAACATTCAGATTCCGACTTCAGTGAGGAAATCAGATTTAGCTTTAGATTTAGGCTCCCCTTAAGCAGAAGCCGAACGGACGACCTCAACTGCCTCCACTTGTGGGTCTGGCCAATCAATATTGGCACGTCGTCGAAAGCTAGTTCTTCATTCTGTACATAGAAGCTGATCTGCAACAGACCCTTCCTCGTCTATTGTTGGTTCTTTCTGTACCCAGACAAGGAAGCCTGATGCTATATGAAGGATTGTTGCTGTACAGGATGAAGTGACAGACAGACCTGCATGATGTTGCTTCTCCCAATATTGCAAGAAGGGATAATCTAAAATTACATGGAAAGATGAAAACAAGCCTGCTGCTATTTAAGTGCCTTGAGCGTCGCTGGACCTAAACGAACCTTCGCCATTTTACGGGCAAAAGCCAGTCAAGATTTGCAGCCCAGCCCTATACTATGCTAAGGGGAAAAGCCACGGACTCCTGTTATGGGAGGAGGTTACTTAACCACTTTTCGGATGCTTTTAGCTTAAAAGTGTCTACTACAGTAGCCACCTTTTTAACTCACAGCATCACATTTGTCTGCTCAAGCATTTTAAACACCCCGAGAGCTGGCACGACAGAAAGGAACTTTCGTATTCACTCAAACCAGCTGATTCTCCCAATATTGAATAAACGTCGACAACACTCAGACAGACTCAGATTTATTATGAATAACAAAACCGATTCGAAGACAAGATTAGATTTAGATGTAGTAGCTAGTACCCAACAAGGAGTAAACATTTTTTAAACAAGATTAGAAAAATGCGAAATGATATGGCGTCTTCTCTTCTTTTGTCATTATTATTATTCAGCGAAGGAGGGACGGCTACCCACAGACCTACAGACGGCCAGCGGGCGGCATCTGAAGCACAGCGACGCGCTAACCAAGCAGATGCAGGGGAGTCCTAACAAAAGGCGCCGCAGCCCGGTTGCGTTTGCCAGTGCCCTCATGGTAAAAAGAAGCCAGAAGCCTCGAACCAGCACTGAATAAGGGCACGCAGGTGCAGCGGTGGAAACAGCAAGAGAAACATACATTGCCGGGGGCATTTAGTCGAAAGCCAGCACGCCGCGCCAAAGCAGCCCCAGAGCGCCGAACCCGCCCGCGGCGAGCTGCGTTGTAGCTCGGGGCGGGATCAATCTCAACGACAGCAGCGGGCGGGTCTGCACTTACTAGCCTAGGCGCGCGAGGAGGAAGCGGCGACACTCCTGCACAGTGCCGCCGCTTGCTCGTATTGTTTCCGAAAAGCCAGCGCATCACCTGACCGCAACCCACAGCCCCGGGGAAAAAGCGGAGAGGCAAAACCGCGAAAAAGCCACGCCGGCGAAGCCTGGGCGCCAGCGGATCACCACCAAAAAAATGCCAGGAGGCGAACCCAAGCAAGCACCACAGCGACCGCCCCCGAGGCGCTCGCCGTAGTGCTCCACCCAAACACCGCGGGCGCGCAGCCACATGGATGCGCGCACCGAACGAGGCCCGCGGGCGCCGTGGTGGTACGTAGCTGCGTACCGTCCGCGCAGAACTTCCCGAAGGAGTGCCGCGGCGTGTCTTGTTCACCGCAGCAGCAAGCCACGGGCTCCAGACATCCAGCGTTTCTGAAACGCGACCCGGGCAACACCTTGGCGGCAAAGGTCTGCACCTCATGGGGGCAGCGATCCCCCAGGGGCGCAGGCGTCCTAGCCCCGTCCGCCGAGGCTTCGGCGGGAGTCTGGCAGAGCCGGAGAAACAACGCCCGCGCCGGCGAGCGACTGAGCTGCAGCGCGGCGAGAAGTAAGATCGCCGGCAGCACTGTGGCGGGTGCCCGGTGTCCAATGTGGCAAGCAGTCGGCGCGCCTCAGCGAGCAGGGGGGGCCGTGCGTGGCTGCCCCTCTGACGTTTACAGAGGAGAGGAGCGGCGCAGCACGTCCGGCCGCGGGTGCGTATCTGAGGAGGACGCCAGCGGTAGTGCCACTGAGCAACATCGCCGACCAGGTTCCTGATGTGAGGCGGGGCCCAGTGGACGGCGAAGGCCTCACACGCCGCACAGCCACGCGCGAAGAGATCCAGGGACCCGCTGCCGGACGCACAAGGCCGCCCGCGATCAAGGTGCCAGATGGCCAAGAGCTGCCCGATTCCCAAGCAGTCAAAAACCCAGGCCAAGGAGCTCGGTCTGAGGGCCAACCGATCAGCAGAGCCCCGAGAAGCAGCGAGGAGAGCCTGGCCAAAACCACACGCAGCAGCTGCAGTCCCCATGCGCCAGCCGCTGACTGCACCACTTACAGCGACACAAGCAAGCCCGGAGGAAAATGCAGCTGATTCCTGACCTGTAGAGAGGACCCCACGACCGAGCACGAGAGCAGCCCCTGCTCCATATGGAGCCCCAGGCAGACGCGCGCCATCCGTAGAAACGACAGTCGTGGCATCTCCGAGTTGTGGCGGACAGGCACCATCCTCAAGGTGGAAGAAAACCGGAGGAGTGCGAACCGAGGGGCGGCAAGGCCGCCGGGGCGTTGTGCGATCAGGTGGCCACCCGATACCCCTTCAAAGATGAGCACCAACAGCAGCCCAAGCCGCAAGGAAGCGCCGGCCTTGGTTGTCTGTGAGCTCCGGGGCCATCGTATGCGCAAGCGGGCCGGCTGTCAAGGCGGGCGCCGTGTGTGGCCCAGACTCACGCACAGGAGGCAGCGGGAGCAACGCAGGCGCCACGCCAGATAGTTCCAGCACGCGCGGCACAGGCGTAGCGGTTGTCCGCGAGTTTAGCCAAAGCGGCGCCGACAGAGGCTCGCGCGCTACCGCTAGCCAAGGTGTGCGATTCGGGTTCGCTGCAGGAGACCAGGCGGGCGTCGGTAGGTGGCCCCGCCACGGGAGTGGGGCGAAGCCAATCGTGTCGCGCCAGTAGCGAGGGGCGGAAGCTGGTAGAAGGGCCACGCAGGGCGCAGTCCAAGAAAGTGGCCGCCCGTTGTTGATACAATTTGAGGTAGGAGGAGAGGCCAGAAAGTGTATGCAGAGCTTCACGCCTAACAGCACAGGAAACACCAAGGACCAGGCGCGCAGCCACGTGGCCAGTCCGGGCGCCGTGTATCCTCGCAGCACGTTGATCGACATACGGGCCGACTGCCACGATACCAAAGCAAGCAACATGGTGCAATAGTATTCTTTTGTCATGAAGATGGGCTTTGTAGGGCGATGCAACTTATTCCTGTCTGAGTCATTCATTGAGTCACTCTATTAGGATAACCTATGGGTACTTCGGCTTACTTACTTCCTCACTTTGGGTACTGCATTTGGGTACTTCCATGAATGGCTAAATTCCTGATTTCTAAGTACACTGTTTTTAGCTGTTTTTGATGAGTGCGGATGACAAGATAAACCTTCAGTAGCTACCTTCTATAACTTTTGTACGTCAACGTGTTACTCAAAGCCATCATGTAGCTACAACCTAGTCTCATGATACCTAGTACCCCCCTCGAGGATGAGTGTTCACTTCTTACTCAGAACCAATCTTCACTAGAAGAAAACCATTCTACATCTGCTGGTTGGCAAAAATTACATAACTTGATAGACGATATCTCGTCAGTCATTTTCTATATTTCATCTCACCCGTGTGCTCTGGAGGCTAGTATGCGGCATATCCTCGGTGTATGGATGTTCAGCAACTGTGAGTCCTGAATGTGCTGAGCGAAAAAAAATCACATAAATAAAATTATATTTTATCAGGTAGACAAGATATCAATATGAACGAATGTAATTTCTATAACGTGTCAAGGAGAGGCGCGAGATGAGTCCCTGTTATTTGTGCTTCTAGTGTCTTAACGTGTACGTGTCAAGCGTGTGAAATCAGTCCTCCCTATCGTTTCTGCCTCTCGTGTGTGAATAAAACACTAACTCAATTACAGCTACAACGACTGAACGACTGGCGTGCGTGAGTGTCTTCAGATAAACGACTGTAATAATTCTGGTGGAGCACCTAACTAGAAAGTAACTCCGTAGAGATGTTACAGATACAATCTATCAAACACCTCCTCACGAGGGCAGCAACAGACCACTGTCGGCACATCTTTCTATCGTTTTCACTCGCGTTGCCTGCAACTGTGCTGGTGTCAGCCTCGGCGCAACCATTAGAGGCCAGCGCTCACTGGTCACTGACTCTGAACGAAAGGGGCCCCACACCTCTCAACTTGTTTTCCCTCGTTATCTCACGGGGGCGCCTCTTCGCTCTCAGTGACCCCAGCCATCTAAATAAGGACCAATGAACGCTGAGCCTTAAAATCAGGATCGTGGTCTCGTCCCCGTTAGCACTTGCACACGAGGAATCGTTGTCGTCCGTCTCCATACGTAGTTGTGCCGCTTCTCTCTGAAACTCTTCTAGGCGGCGATTCCGAACTTTGGGCAAATTTGTCACTGCATCAGCGAAACGCAGCGTCGCCAGAGACTCCTCAAAACACAACTCACTCGGCGAAATAGTAGCCAACGAATATTAGAACAAAGGCACTGCTCAACTAATTGGTGGCTCAAAATAGGGTTTTTTCGTTTCTAGTAGAACAATGATCCTGCTCGACAACGAAAGATCATATCAAATAGATTGTCTCCGAAATATTTCTAGACTTTACAGAGGTGAAAACTAACCGGTTCGCTTTGCTTAGTGCTTTGAGCGTCGCGGGACCTAAGCCTTCACCTACACGGTGAACGCCAATCATTGCGGTGTTAATATGCATCAGTTGTTAAGTTCATCGTCTACGAGTGCAACAAGAAGTAGTGGTAGTCTTCGTCGTGTAGATCTCGGATATACTTCGGTACGTGCATGCTCAATCTCAAGACCCCATCTCAAGAAAAATTGACTCCTAGTATTCATCAACAAAGTGGTTTGTTTATTCCATTGAGAAGATTTGAGTAGTGTTCATCAAAGAAGTGGTTTGTATATTATTCCAATCATTGTCGTGGGTGATTCAGAAGTCAAGTGATCTGTTTCGTCCGATCTAGTTGTTCCGCCAAAAAAGGAACAAAATATTGGTATCATGAAGAGCTTGTTTACTACTAAATTTGACGCCTTAAAAGTACACCTGTTTACTCGCTAACCAGTCTTGGAGGAGATAGGTCAGTTTGGAGTTCCGGAAACAGACCTTTTGCCCTTTGCGCAATCCTTGGATAACTTCCGAGAGCTGCATTAGCTTTAATTTTTCACTATCCCTGATTCTTGAATGAGTTGCTTTCTACTATTCTTTTAAGGTCAGTTCTCCCCTTTTAAACGGAGGGGGATTCAACTCAGGAATAGAGTTTGACTGGCGGCACGACCAACTGAGGAAGAATATGAGCCAAAAATGAAACGGTTATTTGGGATAGTGATAAACTAGCCTTAAGTGAAAGAGGCTTTTGTTAATGAATTTGAGCTCCAACAGGCGTACTGGATCAGAGGAGGACGAAGAAACAACAGCAGCAGTGCTGTTGTGGACTCGCTTATTGCTTCGCGAAGTCGCGCCAAGAGACGTTCCCCGACGATAACCACGACCGCCCAGGCTGGATGCGCGAGATGATCCTCCTGCACCTCGAATGTTGTTCCTCTGCAGCGTGGTCGCAGTGGAAGCTGCGGTACTACGACTAGTGCTTCGTTGGTTGAAACGCCCGCGGCTCGTGCTTGTTCTTCTTAGAGATTGCATGCTGGTCTACAGCATCTATGTATCGAGTCCTAGTACTTTAGTTACAACTCGACGAGCCTGAAGGAAGTCTCTTCCTCCGGGCTGTTGAGACAAGATCTTTCTTATTTCGCAGACAAGTTATTATTATTATTATTATTATTATCGCGCGCGCGACCCGATCGTCTCGCACGTGTTACGCCCTCGGGCGATCCTACCATCCGTCACTAAGACAAGTAGGTAAAAAGCTTATAATTTCTAGTACTGGAATAACGTTGTATCACCACATACTCATATGATGAAGATCATGATGATGCAAATGCTGACATAAAACTGAGAGTGAGGATCCTCCTGGCGACGCCTTCGATAGCGAATCTCCACCATTCAGCATGTAGTTCTCAGGTGACTGGGGCAGCGTAGCAGCACCTCCTTCGTCTTTACTTTAGACGATAGTAGCAAGTAGGATAATGATGATAGGATAGGATACATAGGATAGGATACATAGGATAGGATACATAGGATAGGATACATAGGATAGGATACATAGGATAGGACACATAGGATAGGATACATAGGATAGGATAGGACGTGATAGGTTAACGATGTGAACACTTACTTAGCAGCAGCGGTATGCGGTGGTCAGTAAAAATAACTCAGTAAGTAAGTACTATTTTTGGTTGTAGCAGTCCTACTAGCAGACAACCAATTCAAAAAAGACTACTCATAGTGCTAAGGAAAAGCTTCTGTACTCTACTAGATGGAATATTGGATCTGAAAACTAGATTTTGTATTTGATCTAAAAGAAAATAGATAGTCCCACTTTGCTTTGTTCTCATCACCACTTTTGTCCTTTTTACTTCTGCGTGCAATTGGAGCTGACTGGATATATATTCATTGAAAACGAGTCAATTATCAAAGAAATTTTGACTTTATCTCGTTTTGAATGAATTCAAATCCAATGAGCTGCATTCACGCTCAAACTAAATTTCGAAAATTCAACTTTTGTGTTGATGATGTCCCACCTGACACTGAATTGCAGAAGTTTGGATCGGGTTTCATCTTACTATTTGCATCAAAGTTTCAAGGTACATCACTGCTCTTGATTAAGACAGCTTCAGTACATCCTGTATGCATCCAATGAGCAACGCAATCGCTCTAGCTTACAAGCACAAAACTGCTTCAAAATCAGCAAGAAGCTTGCTGCAAAATAAGAACCATATCAGGCTAGTTTGAACGTATTTAAGTATCCTACTTCAGAGAGAGTCCAAGTAAACTCTAAAAAATAATGCGAAACTATAACAAGGACCTTCGACTATTAACGTCGCCATTGCATATAAAGTGATCACTCGTCTTTACCAACTGTTGATCACCAGCAACTAAAGGTCGCGATATTTATTCTTTCAACCACCACGGCACTAAAAAAAATACATGAGTTGATGGTTCTCCCTGTGCCGTCTTTCATATTTGATGATAAAAGTGAACGACCTCCTCATCATAATCTCGTCGATAATCTGGCTGTAGGTTGTGCGAGAGCAGTCGTGATTGTGCTCCTCCAGACTGGCTTCTTGCGAACTCGTCTCTCATACTACGCAGGCTTCTACGCCGATTCGTTTCTTCCACTACATGAC